ATATGATCTGCGAGAAGTACACGTAAATCGTGGCCTCCAGCTCTAAGGAAATCGGCAGTAATATTATCGGGTCCTGGAGCTGTGCCTCTTTTCATGCTTTCTATAGCAACTCGAACCTCCGCAGGAAGAATTCCAGGTGGTTTCTCTCCAGCGAGGATATTAGAGCCCGGGACGGGACTGTGGAACGGAAAAGGTTGGTGTAGACCGTTTCCGCTATTAATTCCATATCATGGTGTGAAGTTTTGACGATCCCATCTTCGTTCATCAGGGCTAACAGCGGAACATTATAATCACACAAGTCCCAACGGAATTTTTTCAGACTGCTTCTTTTCTCTGTTGTTTCCAGTATTTTCTTATGCTTGCACCGTTGTAGATCCTCCTGCAAAGCTCTTCTGCAGCTGGCATTTATTACCAGCCATGTTAAATTCGTTGCAGTAGGATCAAGCTTCAGTTTCCTTTTTTTCGAGCGATTCCTTAGTATTATCATACCTAGTATCTATCCATACAAAGTCTTAACTTTTATTTACTTACTATTCTTTTTTAAGGCACGGTACGATGTGGTACGACGAATGCAACCACAAGGATGCTGAGTTATAACAAAACTTGGGATCTCAGCCGAGCTTCGAACCCGCAGTTACCTTTATCGGGGCCTAGCTTAACTGGGTTCGATGCTGACTTGTGTTCTCCAGATCATTCCTGTCGACGAGTATTTGCTGATAACACCGAAGTAAAAACATGGTTGAAAGGTAAAGCGAAGACTTTGTTTGGTGTGATGCATAACACGTGCGTCTCAAGTAAGGGTCATAGCGGATTTGAAGCCTACGTGCTGTCGCTAACTGACGTTTCGGCAGTATCGCCTTCTTCAGAGCCTGGAAGGGTACACTGATATACAATCTACTAGGCCAAACCCTTCAACAACACTTACAAAAAGACGAAAAACTCTTCGGTAATTACATGATCAACAACTTCTCGAAAAACCCACCGCTTTTTTTTCGTCACTTCCAATGAGGAAGTTTAGAATAGCTGATTGTAAGAAACATGTTTCGAACAGCCACCTCTGTGTGCACTACCAGGGAACTACCGGAAGAATCGCGCGACTTGGTTCGGCAAATAGCCATCTCCAATGGCTACGAAATAGTAACCCCACGAGATAAGTTTACAAGGCCCACGCGAAACACTAGGCCAAAACAAAATCCCGTTTATGCTGCCTTTTATAAGCGATGAAGTAAGCGCAGCTATAAAACGATGCTTAAGAAGGGCAAGTCTAGAGGAATCGGTAGCGATAGTTGAAATACCACCGGCTACTCTACGTCGCCAATTAGTTTGCAACCGCCTGTATGACCGTCTGTGTGAAACAACAAATTGCGTAATTTGCCCTTACGGCAGGGACGGTGATTGCATGAGTTCAGGTACGATATACCTGATCTCTTGTAACAATTGCAGAGATGAATATATTGGCGAAACGGGCAGACCTTTGTGTATCCGTATAAAAGAACACCTAGATGGCAAACGAAAACTAAGACGAAGCACCCCACTTGGCACACATAGGATACAAAAGCATAGCGGAGACGATTTTGAAGTAAAAGTCGATATCCTTGCACAAGAGTCCAAAACACCAGCGCGAAAACTCCTTGAGGCTTTTTGGATCAATGCCAAAAACCCTACAATGAACAGCAGGGATGAATGCCCGGAGGTCATACGCGACCTGATCCCGTACGTTCGCATCGATTTTTGATGTGGGATGGTGCAGTCGTCAACCACTTGCGATTATAATCAGCTGTTCTAAACGTCCTCATTGGAAGTCACGAAAAAGCGGTGGGTTTTTTCAAGAAGTTGTTGATTATGTAATTACCGGAGAGTTCTTCGTCTTTGTGTAAGTGTTATTGAAGCGTTTGGCCTAGTAGATTGTATATCAGTATACACTTCCAGACTCTGAAGAAGGCGATACTGCCGAAACGTCAGCTAGCGTTGTATTGTATTGTGTTTTTCTATGGAAGTAAATGTATGCTGTTTAAAAACCTCGCGATTGCTGAACAAGAAAACGACACATTCATATTCCAATGCCGAGGTTAATAGAAAGTCGATCCTGGCAACTCCTGCGTGCTGTTCCACGTTTTGCTCATATCTCTGCAACTTTGTGGTTATATACATAAAATTCTTGGAAAAAAATACAGTGTGCGAGTCCGACATGGAATGACGGTAGTAGGCTCCTTTCTTTAGTCAACGTCATACGAAATAGTGTTTCATTCTAATGAGCTCACTCCAATAATATCGATGTTCTGTGAAGCACTACCTCACGTCCTATATACTAGTGCAGTTGTCTTTGACTTGTCCTATCATTTTACTCTGATCTTCCGTCAAATGACACCTAAACTATTTTTAAGAGATATTATCAATACTTTTCATAGTTAAACCTATTGAAGAAATGAAGAAACTCATGGACTACACTCTCACCTAATTTAATTCATCCACAGCTGAAACCATCGCCCCATCAGGAGGATAAATTCAAGCCATTTCTTTGAATGAAGAACAGTAAGGGAACGACTACGTCTAACCGGAATTTTCAAAATCGAGTATACGCGGCGATATTGATGCCGTTCGGTGGGCGTAAGGCCCTGCACCAACCCTACTTAGGTCAACTATGCTTTCTATCTTTCCGGATAGGAATATTTGTAGAAGAGTTGTCTAGGAAAAGCTCTCAGCGGATCCACAAATGCTGGCGGCTGTCTGCGGCGGAGCTAGGAACGTTATAGTACGGTTATCCCGGGATTTCAGAGAGAATATACTCGACCTGTCATGTGAACATTCATGAAGAAGACCTGTTTATTCACACAGGAAGAGTGACAGTCGTACTCACACACAAAGGCAAAGACTATCGTGGACGATGGCTCAGAGAAGATGAATCGAATAAAAAAATTGCCGCGACGGAATATCTGAAGTCCGGTCATGTCAAAAAATCTAAGAAAAGTATTTGATACGTTTCGAATCTTTAAAGAACTTCTCAGTAAATAAGTTAAAAGAACAAGTGTTCGGTGTTGCTCAATTCCATAGGAATGCGCCATGTTGTCAACTCCATTAACCACTGTAGAGGTGAGCGAATCCATATTGGCCTCGTATGGTGGCTCACTACGGCCTACCTACGTAATAAGCCAAGTATTCTTTACCTCCTCAGATAGATTGGACTGAAATCTGCCTACACCGAAAAAACAGCGAATTTGGAAAGTTGAAGCTACGTGGCCGGACTAACGACCAAGTGTGCAGTGCTGTACACCCGTAGGGTTATAGGCGCGCACTTACAGTAGTGTGTGTAAACACCCAAATAAATGAACATCCGCTTCTGTTCCTTCAACACCGATAACCACATCGTCAGCCAGCTCTATCCCCAAGCCACTAAACAACAGCACTATGTGGTTAAATAAGGATGCTAGGGAAGCAAAATCAAACGTAGAAATTGGCCTTTTCATGCTCCATGCTACACAGCCACAGCTCAACCTGAAGTCTTTTAAAAGTGCAAATCGCGCAGAAATTTTTAATAACTTCAATAAACGGAAAAGACAATCTTAACCCTTTTACTTACTGCGTTTTTCTTTTTAATGGCAGGGTATGTTGCGAAATACAACTCGTGTATAATGCTGAGATATTTGCAGAACTCTGGACCGCAGATGTATGCGGTGGGGGACGAACCCGCGCTGTTGTCCTTACCGGGGAGCAGCGCACTTCACCACCACACCATCCAGGTCCTTCCTTTTGCCTGTCTCTCAGCTATTTCTATCGATCTTTGCCACAGCAATCACCCGTCAGCGGGATTGATCTGGGGCAGGAGAAACGAAGGACCCGCATGGTGTGGTGGTGAACGCGTTACTCCCTGGAAAGGACAATAGCGCGTTCGTTCCCCACCATAGACACCTGCGGTCCAGAGTTTTGCAAATATCTCAGCAACCTTGTGGTTGTATTTCTCTTAGTGCCCTGCCGCGAAATTATAGTAGGCAGAAAATAAAAAGGTATAACATTGTGATTTCAACTACAGCCGCAGCCTAACTGGGTTCTATGCCGATTTGGGCGCCCCAGATCAATCCCGCTGACGGGTGATTGCTGTGACAAAGATCGATAGAAATAGCTGAGAGACAAGCGAAAGGAAGGACCCACATGGTGTGGTGGTGAACGCGTTACTCGGAAAGGACAATAGCGCGTTCGTTTCCCACCATAGACACCTGCGCTCCAGAGTTTTGCAAATATCTCAGCAACGTTGTGTGTAAACATAGTTACATTCCATAGAACCAGAAAGAAAGAAAGGTTCAGAAACCACATGCTTACGTGCTACACTGAAAACTGGCAAAAACCGAACCAGAAAATGAAAACCATTTCAGACTATGCACATGATAACAGACGACTATTAACAAAAACACCACAAATTCAAAGAATGAGTAAAAGAGAATCACAAATAACAGCACATAACGGATGATGGTGAGGTCAACTTAGACATCTCGGAAAGTGATTGCGTGTTCCACCATATCATAATTGATAATTGCATCTTCCAACTGTACACCAACCTATGGCACTCGTTGAAATAAAAGTCGTTAGAATCTAGAGATATTTCTCGACAACGCGGAACTTTCCCCCTACTATCATAACAAAACTCTAGATCCTGCAACTTCACAGAACTGTATTTTCCCGCCCTTCTTGCAGAGGTCGAATGCTAAAGCGATTGTACATGCGCTATTTCACTGAACATTTTTACAAAGACCAAATATATCCCTAGCGCAATGTCGTCTGCATACATTTATTAATTCTCTGTTTATCGAAAAATTACTACGAAAACTCAGCATGGTTCATTGCGCTAAGAAAAACAACTGACCAAATTTTAAGCAGTTACTATTCAATCATAGAACAGCATATCACAAAAATCAACCACGAATAGTGAGCAAAACAGCGATTTTATGGCAACTTAGCTAAGAAGAAATCACCCTTAAACAGAGATGAAACTCCAGCAATTTTATAAATCAATCCTTGTTTCTTCTCATAAAGACTCCTTCAGCAGCTATCCATTTACCAGTATTTGTTAGGCCATCTGTTCCTACCACCTAAAAGGATCTCTAACTATTGACCATCTCTTTACTACAAAGAATTCCACACCTCTCTTTGCCCGTGGATCGGTCTGCCAAACTGCTGTCCAGATAGTGCCAAATACACACCAGTGTCGACATGTTTAAATCTCACTGCCTGAATTCTCAGCAAAAATTAGAAGGAATAAAGATAGGAAGTAGTTATTTAAAAACCTCGCTTTCCATCCACTCTTCCGAGTCACAAATAAGTTGCCAATCATCACCGGAATCACTTTGAGCTCCGCTTCCAAAACATGACACTTCCTTCAATTTAATTGTATTACTTTTCTGCGTGGGAATATACATCGTAAACAGAAATAGTTTAATAATCACCTAGTGACTAACATCACTAGTCACTGCGACGAAGAGCCCAAACTAACACGGTGCATCCCAGCAGATGAATAGTGTAAAGAAAAGATTTACAAGAGAAGCTATTAAAAACCAATACCTGATTATGTCTGGATAAAGGCGCCTGGAAATGGTGGGTGTGAAGAAAACACCCGGTGGTCAAGTGCTTAAGACGAAGCTTTCCACCACATTTGATTGGATCACCACGCCCACATGATCCTTCTAAGGCTGAAAGAGGTATCGATGGCTTAAACACGAACTGATAGAAAATCAACAAAAAATACCCCTCTAGAAAAGATAGAACTTATGGAACCAAATGGCTTTTAAAAAATGCCAACAGAACATTAAAACGCTTTTCCTATTTGAAACGAAATATCAGAACATAAATAAACTCAAAACTCACGAGGATACACTTGCCAATGAGAGTTGACATCATCAGAAGACGTTACGGCAGTAACCGACTGCTGACCACTACCGCTTCCATATTTGATGTCATGCGAATGAATACGTGATCCTTCATAGGCATTTGAGAGTTTTAGAACGGTCCCACACGTCACGAGCTCATCATCATAGGCTGATCCTAGTGCTAAACACGAATAGACGACATACCGAAGCAGCCAAATCATTCAGCCCTAAACCACGACACTCATGCAAGTCCTTCAACACCTATGAAGAATTGGGAAATTTAGCATTTGCATAAGCGGAACTGTTAAATCAGAAAAGAAGAAGGCTACACTGAGCACTAAAATCACCGCAACAGGAGAATTTAACAAAAGTAATATATCGTGACTCAGATAATCCCACGTGAACAACACTCGGGTGATCCCACACGCAAAACATGACCCTAAGGATGGCGAAATAACCGAAACGTCAGCCATGAAGCAACAACAACAACAACAAACGGCAACGAAACGGCAACGACAACGACAACGACAAAAAAGAACAGCAACGACAACAAGAACGGCAGTGGTAACAACGACAACAACAACGACAACGACAGCGAAACGGCAATGACAACGAAAAAAAGGAACACCAACGGCAACAAGAATGGCAATGGCAACGACAACGACGACGACAAAAAAGAACAGCAACGACAACAAGAACGGCAATGGTAACAACGACAACGACAGCAAAATGGCAATGACAACGAAAATAAGGAACAGCAACGACAACAAGAACGACAACAACAATTGAAACTGCAACAACAACGGAATGAACAACAACAGCAACAACAACTTTCACCAATCTCGCATCAGCTCAACAATGGCAGTTCGTGCAGTAAGATATGTTACTATATTATACTTTAGCATGCTAAAAATGTGTCACTTCACGGAATGTCAATGATGTACAGGCGAAGACCACCAGTTATTCAAACACTACGTGGTGGTGCATTTCCACGTCAGAATTGGAAACAATCCAAAGCTCGCGCGAAGAATGCGTCCGCCTCGCATTTGTTGACCCAAATAAAGTTCGCCTATGGCGTTTTGCGATACTCACTGATGTGGCGTTCGTCAAATTTGTATTAGATTACTCACTAGTACGTTAGTTTAAGTTCAGTTCATTACTAGTACTAAGTCTTCAAGTTTTCAATCCGTCTTTGTGTGAGCATATTTTATCGACGATGTTTTCGTTGATTAAGACATTATCCTCTCACTTGTTCCTCCTTGTGAACAGAGTTTGTTCCGATTTCACTGTCAGTTCGTGTACGTAGATATCCAAAAGCTCCTTGGTAGGTTCTTATGTTCCGTAGTTCCATAGCCGGTTGGCGTTTTCTATTGTTTGTAGTCTTTGTGATAATCTTTATGTGGCTGAGAATAAAGCACACTTTCTGTTTTCCGACTGAGATGGCTGCGACCATCACAACGATAACACCACCGAATGTTTCATACATTCAAATGGACTCGCTTGTCATAATGAAGATCGTTAAGCATGTTGACAGTGAGCTATATGCTGGAATGAGTGAGGTGAGCTACTGCCGTCAAGTTTCTGTGTAAGAGCGAATGCCAGGCGCGTGTAGCGCAGTGGTCGGAGGAGCCCTCCAGTACACGTGGGATCGATCGAAGTGCCCAAGGCTCACTAAGCCCTCCATTCCTCCGCGGACGGCAAATTGGTACCAGACTTGTCTGGGAAGGTAGTTGTACTGGCTCAATACATCGTCAGGCCACCGCGAGCCATTGTAAAGGTCAGATATGCATTCATTCACCTGCAAGCGATGCTTAGTGAAGTCGAATGGATGGCGCATTCCCCAGGAATAGATCAACGCCGGGAGCTTTATCCTCTTCGTTTTTTTTAATAGCGAATGCCACTTAACCTGCGTTCAGGTAGCGGGCGAGGCTTGTCAAGGTCTTCTAACTGGACTTGTGTCAGTTGAAAAGGATGATAGCCGCCTAGAGATCACTAACTGCTTCCCGACAGCACGCGCTGAACCCATTCTTGAAAACGACGAGAATGCAACTCAGGTTCGCTGTCCTTGTAGACATTTCTTTTCATTTTTGAACCCATCATTACTATGAACTTGACGGTTCGTTTCCGTGTTTGTGGAAGTAGGAGCAAAAATGAATACCGGAAATGGAGTGTGCTTGTTCTCCCATAGTTAATGTGCTCAAAACAACCGGACTTTATGGTTGAAGAACAGGCTATTAAGGCCAGTCAAATGTACGAGGAACTGAAGCAGCAGGAAATGCTGGACATGTTACGGAAGTTTAGGTGCGTGTTTCATGTCTTCAGTTAACTGGAGAATACCGATGAGTTCGAATTTTTCAAGGAATATGAATATCGATTACGAATTGGTCGGCTTCTATCAGGCGCATCCATTTGGAGCTTGCTTCTCACAAGATCTTGTAGACTCAATGTTTGATTATCAAAGCAATGGACCCGATGGTGTCGTGATCATATACGGTAACATGCTTTTTCACTAATTATATTATTCTGGTGTCACTTAGTTAGAGTTTGATACCCGAGCTCTTTTTTTGGACTTCGTTGTAGGTACAACTAAAGATGGTTAATTTGTTGTCTAATATAATTTGTCGTTTTGCCTGGCACTCTGATCCTAAGTAATAAAAGCTCCATGGACCATTGATTTGCCCGAAGCCATTTTTTCAATTATCGTTCTGTTGGACGGTGGTAGCCACAGCGTCATTTAGACGTACCTTCGGCACTTCAATGTTGAGCATTATCGTTGCTAAGAGTTAGTGGATTTTGCTTGCTATATTGTTATCGACTGAGAATTGTTGTCCTAGGTTAAGCCTAGTTGCAACACAGGGAACCTCTCTGATCCATAAAGGACGGCTACTGGCTGTAGTGAAGGGCAGCTGACACAATTACACTGACATCTCGACATTCGAGCATAGCCGTTTTCAATAAGTATTAGACTTGGGCGGGCAGAAAATGTTACTGAGTTTGCTCGGCAGTGCTCACTTGGCACATCATTGGGACCTTTTCTAATTCTGTACACACAATGCCTGAGTAATCTTTTCTAACCGTTTCATGTTGCTCTCAACTGCAGAAACCAAATAAAATGTTATATGGTCTGCATTAAGGAAACTAGAACAAGAAACTGTCTCTCGGTGGGTAAAAGATGTCATCCCAACCGTACTACCTGAATAGATCTCATTACATATTGTTGGTAGCATTTACTTTCTTCGAATGTCTATCTCTTTGACCCTGATGCACTTCTGTTCTCATACTTTGCTATTCTGCGATTTTCACCACAAAGGTTCGTTGTAACCAGAAATGAAAGAAAAATCGTCATCGTGTCACAAAGTGAAAGTCTCTTCGTAATTTGACTTTTGCTTGGCTTCGCCATTGATGGGTTTTTCCTTCGTGATCTCCTTTTTATCAGCTAACACGAAGTTTTCAACTTTTATTGATACGGAAGTACAATTAATACCCTGCCGTGGAAACTAGTAAACGGCAGTAAATAGAAAATTCAACTTTTATTAATGTTCGGCGATTAACGAAAACGTATCTGAGAAAAGCAAAATCACCGAGACGTAACGCTATTGAAATTCCATTGGCTACGATGTTATGTCGTACATAAATTCATGAGTGGTTGATTCGACATCTCAAATGAAAAAGAAATCGTGGACATGCTCGTTATAAAGAGAAAATCGAAAAATGTGCCACAGTGTATTTGTAATCAATTGAAATAAAGCGATTGGCATTTTCATTGGCTCTCCTTCATTGTCGTTCTTTGAGGTAATGGCTCGAGGATTTCGTGGCTTCGTTTTTTCGACCTACATGTCTTACAAGTACTTGGATACTTTGATGGCTCGTCTTCACTACTTGTACGGGCCACAGCATAACTTTCATTTCCTCGGTGTTTTGCTGGTTTAGCTGTTCTGGTTCCCTAGTCTCCAGGTGAGTCTGGCCAAAGTCTGCCTAGATCACTACTACGGGTAGTCGTCGCTCTTGTGGATCAGAACGAGATTTGTCACCATGCGATTAGTTCGATACCAGGGCGGTGATAGATCCTGGTATTCGTTTTTATTCAAGGTATTCCTTTCCATTCGTTATGTTTTGATTCCAAATCATTTGAAGTCTGAGTCGCAGCTAAGTTTTTTCAGAAAAGCGTTTTATATTCTACGTTGTTTTTCCTTGTTTTGTAGAATTAAGTTGCTGCTTTAGGATTGTCGTCTTTGGTTGGAGTGTTTCCACTTGGAATTCAAAGAGAGTGAACTTTAGCCGGACAGGTACAATACTAATTTCCCGACCTTGGAGGAATGGGAGACTTAGTAAACCCTTGTCGGGATCAAACCAATTCCACGTTCACGATGAACTACATCACTACTACTGTTCTGCCTGCCCGTTCGTTTCACTTATAGTCGCAGTGATGCAATTTCTAGCTTCTACAAACTCCGAACAGGTCCTTTCCAGCGAAATACAACATTTAATCTTATTGCGACGGGGCTTAAGCTTTTTATCAACGACGAATCACGCTTTTCTCTGACAATCTTTTCTATGTGTCGTTTTCTTGCTCTGCAATCGCGAGGTTTTTAAACACCTCGCGATTGCTGAGCAAGAAAACGACACATTCATATTCCAATGCCGAGGTTAAGAGAAAGTCGATCTTGGAATCTTTTCTATTTCGAAAATTCATATCATTGAACAAATGGAATTTCGTCCAGCAAGAATGCATCTAATCAGAGTGAATGGTTGCCGCACTTGAGTTTTAAACTGTTTATTGTATCTACAATTTCTTGAGTCTGGATTCGAGGCATGTCTTAAATGAAGATAATGAAGATGAAGATAGAATATTATACACGATCTCTACGCAGTAGTGTTTCAATAACTCAGTTACTTTTCAACTTGCCATTTCCTCTAATTATCGAGAAGTTACTTGGATGCTTGGACGCTCCGTCTTCACTGGTTGTGCGGGCCTCAGCATAATTTCCACCTGGCTAAAGTCTACCCCAGGTCGTCACCACCACAGATAGTCGCGGCCCTTGTGGATCAGAGCGAGATTTGCCACTATGCGACGAGTTTGATACCAGGACGGTACTGGATCCTGGTATTGGTTTACTCTTAGCTGGGCTTCTTAACGGAAACGCCGCATTCCTTTTCACCTTGGCAGGTCCTACTGGCGGGGCGAATCCCCCTGCTGTACATCGCAGCCCGTCACCCAGGAGCATCTTTAAGTCACTATGATGCTGTAAACCGTTGAGAGGTATCAAAAATTTTTCCACAGTTATCGAAAAAACGTCGGTTCGTTTACGATCATGTATATAGAAAGAACGGGTCATTTCTCAAGTAATCTTCATATTGCAGTCTTCGTATTGCGGAAATATTTTTTCTTGTTCTCTAATTCGATTTTTCCTTCAATTTTTTTAAAACTCGCATATTGTTTTGAAATATTTAAGTTGAAAAAGTGCAACCATCTCTCGCCTTTTATCAATCCTGTTAATTGAGCGACTTCACTGCGTTTCTGTAAACTATCCCAATTTCTCGAAACCCACCTTCCCTAAACCTCGGTGTGATTAATCAATATGTATTCTTTCTTGATAAGCTTACACGAGGTTGATAAATATATTTATTTTCGGCTAACGTTTCGACGTCTTCGTCTTCCTCAGAGCCGGCGATCCGAGTCGATGGTCCATGCTTGTTGTTCGCCTCGACGTTGCGTCTTCGCCTTCCTGTCGAGCCAGATCTTCCTCAGCGAGCCATCTTCTCGAATGAGGCATCCTCACTCAGTGATGCCCTTTTATACACGATGCTGATGATCGCCGGCTCTGAGGAAGACGAAGACGTCGAAACGTTAGCCGAAAATAAATATATTTATCAACCTCGTGTAAGCTTATCAAGAAAGAATACATATCCCAATTTCTTTTTCACTGCTAAAGCTGCGTAGTGCTCTGCATGCTTGAGGCGCACAGGTAGCATGACATTTTTTGGAACTGTATCCAAATTTTTAAGGAATATTAGACGCGTAGGTTGTAGCTTCGATTTCTACATTTCATTCCAGATCCTGTGAAAACTCGTCAGGGACAGCTTTGCCTCCGTGCGTACCGTTTATCCGTCCCAGCACTAGAACTCTGTGCGAAGAACGACTGGTCGCCCGATGCGTGAGTTTTCATGTGTCTCTGTGTGAAGGCGTATGTTTTTTGAGATGATTTTTACTCGGTATTTATATCTGTTTATATTTTCTGTATTACAACTCAAAGAGCCCAGTAGACTAGGTTATTTTGTGCCTGTTAAATTTGGGGTTGTTCTAGTGTGAAGGCTGCGAACCTCACCTACCAAACTATGTTCGAGGAATTGCCGATCGTGATTAAAAGCAGCCATCTTGTTAACGTGATGATGGCGGAATTATCATTGGCACCTACCAAGATTGCTGACAGGTTTTCAACTCACCTCGAGTTAGGTTCACGGCGGTGAGCGCTTGTTTTTTCAATTAATAGTGATCGATAAAATTAGCTGAGAGACAAGCGAAACCACGGACCTGCATGGTGTGGTGGTGAACGCGTTAGTCCCCGGAAAGGACAATAGCGCGTTCGTTCTCCACTACAGACACCTGCGGTCCGGAGTTTTGCAAATATCTCGGCATCATTAGAGTTATATTTCGCAATATATCTTGCCGTCAAAAGGAGTAGGCAGTAAATAATAAGTTAAAATTTGAATTAATAGTCTTCAATTAACGAGTGATAAGTTTCACAACTGTATTCATTGCAATATCACTGTCACATCCATATTACACATGTATAAGTCCACTAGGGTTTTGGTCCGGTTTGTGCAAGGAATTTCAGTATTCTTCTGCACAGCTTATCTGAAAGAGGCGGAAACTAGAAAATTAGTTGTGAGTAGCGCTGGACTCGTATTCTATATAACTCATTTGCATAAGAATTGTGTTCAGTGATTCTTCCGTGCACTTCAACAAAGTTAACGATGATGTCGGAATGAAAAATTTCGTAACAATGCTCTAAACACTTGGAATTAAAGGTGGAAGATTTTAAACCGTACTAATAAGGCGAGGTTTTTTTTTTAGATCATTGGAGAAGAGCGTTCGATCGATGATGGCGAATATTGATGAACTTAACAAATCTATATCGGCGTACGGCAAGTATGTCAACGATAGGCAAAGACATGACAACATTATCTATAATCTCACACAGAAGCGAGTGAGGTTTGCTGACGATCTTGCTAGCATTTTAGCACACTTTCAATTCTCTTATTAGACAAACATTTTGCACAACCGCTTGCCTATTTGTTAGGATGGAATTGAAATCTTTCTCTTAAGCAAGCGGAAAATGAGCAGCGTATCGCGAGAGGGGAACCTCCGTTGTCAATGGATGACATCCGTAAGCTCAAAGAGCCACAACTGCAGACGCGAAATGGAATGCTCGACGCAATGCTAAGCAGCTGTGAAACTCAGGCTTTGGCAGACTTTTGTATAAAAGTAAGTTCTCCCTTCAATTGGCTAATTTCCAATCGTCTCCGGGCTTCTTGGTCGTCGAATCGTAGTAGTTTCTTAACGCAATGCCCGGGTTGTAGTTATTTCAGTGGATTTGGTGCGAAGATAGTGGCGGCTTTCAAGTTTGAACTAACGTGTCTCAATACACGATTTTTTTAAATTAAAATTCAAGCCATTAGTCTCTGGATTTTTTGCCAACAAAGAACAATTTTTTTGTTTTACCAAAATTAAGTTCCGAATTTCTGGATATACTTTGTGTTCAGTTCTTTAAAAATTTCAAGTACAACCAGATTTAAGTATGGAAAAATCAAAACAAGTCTGTTTTGCAAATCTGTGATATTCAAAACTTCTTGAGTATCCTTGTAATTTATTGATTATCGTCAGTTATCGAAGAACCAGCTGCAAATGTTATGCGGGAAGTATAGATGTTGTATTTATCGACTATAAGGCGTATGCATTAAGTAGCTAACCTTTAGATGAAAACTAAGTTATTGTAAGACATTAATTTATTGTAGCTTTAAAGAACTCGATAAAGGTAATGCTTTGTTCACAATAAACGTTTGCAACAACCTTGTGTATGCTTAAAAGTACACCAAATCACTTACAAATAGGTTCTTTACAATTTTACACTATATTCAAAGAAAACCGTATCGTTTTCCAGGTGACGGGTGAAAACATCGCTAAGCTGTTTCTTGCAGAAGCACTTGCTGACGACAAGGCGACTAACAGGGAGCGTTCACAAAGTTTCCACACCCGATAGGCAGTCCGCTGTTCTTAATGGGGCATATGTTTTCAATGTCTGTTGATCCGTCTTGTTCAAAATTGGTAACCCTTAAGGTGTAACTGTTGCATACCGGCTAACTGTATCCACAGATCATATTTTGCTGACCTTAAACACAGTTTGTTGTTGCACATAAACTCCAGTGCATGTTCTTTGTTAAGAGAACATATGAAGTAAAGATTACTGATTCATTGTAGGACCATGTTTGTTTTTACTAACAATGTCATACTTACCAGCGATCGGTCGAATAGTTACGATATATTGGATTTATACAACATAGTAATGTGGCATCGTTCCATCACGTTGTTTGATGATGATCTTCAATCTCGTGTAGAGACAGCATCCAAAGTACTATAGTTGGCGGATAGTAGTGAGTCGTGAGGGTTAAAGTAGCCAGATTCAGTGTTTTAAAGTCGACTCCAATACATTGAAAGTGTGAGGACCGTTCTGGAGGTGTTAAGTCATCAACGGAGTATTTCTCATAGGGCGGACCGAATGTTTCCAGCAATTTTAATAGCGCTTAGTCTATTATTCCACCTCTAGGGCTACATTTGGTATGTGTTTTTTACCACTTGAAAATCTATTCATTTCTAAACTATACTGTAAACACAAATGACGTAGAACTCAACACAAAGATATAAACTTAGGTCTTATATAGGAAAACTTAGTTTAAAAAACACTACGAACAAGCAAAGTGAATAATTGAAGTTAATCCTCTAAGAACTAATGGGGAGAAAACGTCAGAAAAGGCTAAGGACCCAGCAAACAATAATTATAACAAGATCTAAGCAATGCATGGCTAAGAACCACAGAATCGTGACACATGTAGGGGTTCCTATGTGCAGCAGACCAGGTTCACCATGGGCGTAGATTGCGTTTATCAGATAGATGACTAGCATCGCTGCTGAATTCCATGCGGAATTTACCACTGTTTACCTCAACGAACTTCGAGACAGTCGCCTGACCAACATACTTGAAGTCACCGTTCCATATTTCGTGGATAGCTCCTATGGGTGCTCCATGACTCACCAAGAGAAGATCACCTGAAATTATTGGATGGTAAAGGTTCTCAGATAGAGATAACTTCGATGCTTGTTACGTGCCGTCATATTTTTCTGTAAGACGGTTCAACGTATTTCGTACGCGTGGCAAGCATGCATCATCGCCAAAGCCTTCCTTTGGTAGAGTATGCTGAAAGTGAGCCTTGCATTCATACAAATAAGACAGCCAACGTAGTTTTGAAACCGTTCTTCACATCATATGTCGAGAGATAAATTCATCGTTGATCGGAATCAGCGTTCGCTTAATAAGTTTTATGGAATATTCGTGATCAGAATACACTTTTTTCTTCCAAGTATGCATTGTGTGCTAGATTCAACGACGTATTGAACCACTTTGAGACAATGCAATTGGGATCTGACTAACAAGAATACACATACCTTTGAGTAAACTGGGATGTAGTCAGTGTCAACCAGTGGATATTTCTCTTTCAGATTATTCGTTTCCCAGAATCCGACTGGCTTCTCACACAAATATAACGCCTCACATAGTCCAGGCTCTGGCTGTACTAGGTGACAACAAGATAGAACCAAAGCACACACTCCTTCCACAATAAAAAAAAGATGAAACGGGACGGAAAAAAATAGAACAATGGAGTTTTTACAGAAAAAAAGGAGAATGATTCTCATTCTAATTCACTCAAGGCACCTTAACTAATAAGTTCTTGTCAGCAACAATTATCGATGCTGTTTGTATCGTCCTGTCGAAGGGCGAGGCGAACACATGGGCGATGTTTTCATTTCGGAACCTGAGCGTAATGAAGAGGTCATAACAGTAACAAACAGTGAACCAACATAACGCGAAAAAAAAAACTGTCTTCAGTAATCCATCGACAATAGGAAAGCTAAAGCTTGGTTTGGTGTATTCTAAGCATGAAAAACTTGAAGATGTATAAGATTCAGGGATTCCATGCTTAGTGACTAATGTAAGGATGGAGAACAACCGTACAGACCAATTAGTTCGCAACCGCCTGTATGACCGTCTGTGTGAAACAACAAATTGCGTAATTTGCCCTTACGGCAGGGGCGGTGATTGCATGAGTTCAGGTACGGTATATCTAATCTCTTGTAATAACTGCGGAGATGAATATATTGGCGAAACGGGCAGACCTTTGCATATCCGTATAGAAGAACACCTAGATGGCAAACGAAAACTAAGACGAAGCACCCCACTTGGCACACATAGGATACAAAAGCATAGCGGAGACGATTTTGAAGTAAAAGTCAATATCCTTGCACAGGAGTCCAAAACACCAGCGCGAAAACTCCTTGAGGCTTTTTGGATCAATGCCAAAAACCCTACAGTGAATAGCAGGGATAAATGCCCGGAGGTCATACGCGACCTGATCCCGTACGTTCGCATCGATTTTTGATGTGGGATGGTGCAGTCGTCAACCACTTGCGATTATAATCAGCTGTTCTAAACGTCTTCATTGGAAGTCACGAAAAAGCGGTGGGTTTTTTCAAGAAGTTGTTGATTATGTAATTACCGGAGAGTTCTTCGTCTTTTTGTAAGTGTTATTGAAGCGTTTGGCCTAGTAGATTGTATATCAGTATACACTTCCAGACTCTGAAGAAGGCGATATTGCCGAAACGTCAGCTAGCGTTGTATTGTATTGTGTTTTTCTATGGAAGTAAATGTATGCTGTTTAAAAACCTCGTGATTGCTGAACAAGAAAACGACGCATTTATATTCCAATGCCGAGGTTAAGAGAAAGCCGATCCTGGGAGCAACCGTATAGACTTTTACTCCCAACAAGTTTCGTCGATATCACTTTCCTACAGCATGTTTCTGGTAAACAGTACCTCTCAGCACATTCCTTCGCTTGTGAGCGACCTCGTTCACTCAGCATGCTATTATCAGACGCCAGACCGCTTGCGCCTGGTAACGACCTCCAATTCTTGTTAATGTTGTCTTCCCTGAAAAATCGAGTACTGATTTTATCCTAGTTCATCATATTTAGACTCCTGAAACGGTGCTTCCAAAGGATTGATAAAACGTTTTTAATTATCAGGTAACTCGTTGAATACCAGCAAAGTCTTCACTTCATACCTATGGCAGCGCTTCACAATGGGCTCCGCTTGCTCGTGAGACGCGAAGACTATCGTACTCTTCGTATTTTTACTGTTTTGATGATGTCACTCACTAGCAAAACAATGGATTTAATGGTGGACTGCCTGAGTATATTGACGAGAAGCTTGCTTAGGTCTCTCGGTGGTAGATGTGAGCAATTCGTGTGCGCTTCGTATTTGGTCGAATCGGTATGCAACGTATAATACGTGTATGGACTAGTACATTACCACACTGATCCCCTTGCACGTTCCAAAGCCACATGCTAATTGACGAACTTCATACATGGCCGGTTGTAAAATAACAATTTACCGAAGTATGCGAAACTATGAACCAGTTTGGTGCATCAGCAACACTACGGTCTCTGAACACATCTGCTGTTCAAGGTAAGTAAGAAAAAGGATAAAACTCTCGGTATTGATGAATCCCTGAGGAACTGAGGAATGAGTCATGCATTCGACTTCAATTAAGTATCGTTGGAGGTGATTGAATGCATATCTGTCCCTTATAGTAACTCGTGGTGCTCATCGAATATCGAGCAAGCGCTGCTATGTTGCCAGATAAGTCTGGTCCCAATTCGCCGCCCTCAGAGTGATGGAGGGTTTGGTCCGCCTGGCGGCGTGGGATCGACTCCCTGTGTATTGCAGGGAGCTTCTAAACCACTGCGCTACGCGTCTCCCCCAAGTATCAAGTATGGCAAATTTTGGTTTGCGCTTAACCACCAGCATTCCTATAACAAAATTCACAAAGGGAATAAGATCAGAATATATTGCGTATCAATATGCTGATTTTATAGAACATAACTAATTACTGTCATACCTTTCCGCATGACGCACCACCCATATGGTTCGATGTAACGAAGTCATAACGGGACGTGTCGGCGTTCTTATATTAGAAATAATGATTATGAATATTGACCAAAATACAAACATACATATCGATTCGGAAAGTCACAAAGAAAATCTAGACACCGTCAATTCTTGAGTGACATGAAATATTTAAATGCTTAGAATCCCACTCATGACTGACACTGATATGATGATTTTAAGCAGCAATGGTCCAAGAATATGGTCCGTTCATCGGAGGACAACCACTTTTGATGAGGTACGCGTAAGATGTGCAAAATTTTTATCATATGAGAAACTTGAGAAAGAAACTGGAAAAAAATTTGCAAAAAAAAATTAAAAAGAAAAACTTGAGAAACTTGAAACCACCATACACATCAATATTTACATGGACAGAACAAAAAATTAAGTACTTTCTACAGATGAGTAGATCGTTGGTCCCGCTTATCAGGTCTCTTCGTACATAAATCAGGATTGAACATAGAGTTATATTTCTGCTTCGGTGGTGCAACTACTTTTGTGGGGTTCAGTAGCTGTTGCGTACGATGTCTCTGTAAAATTTTTCTAGAAGAATAAATATAAGCTCACATTTAGGCGAAGCGAAAATGTTTTTGCACATTTTGCTTTAAAACATAGAGAAATATTTTAAGTGAATTTTAAAAAATTTAAAAAGAAAACGTAAAACCGAGTTTTCTCTTTTCACCTCACAACGCTCTCTTCTAATCCGTTCTTCCCTTAAGGCTGCCAATTTGTTACGCTTCTGAATTTCTAGATCACGGTCATCATTGTCACTACTGTCTGGAGAGTTGTGGCGCCTTTTCTTCTTTTTCTTTTTACTTTTCTTCCTTTTCTTCTTCTTTCCTTCTGAATCTAAATGATAAAATATTAAACAATGGGCATGTTTCTTGAAGTTCAATGTTGGAGATATGTGTTAATGACAAAGACGTTGTAGCTACACATTCAGCGGTTCACGACTTCTACATCGACGACAATAAACAAAGCTACCTTATTAAAACTATTGCGGAAAAGACTATTAAGGGAACTATTAAAAAACGAAGGGCTTCCATGATGTGGTGGCGAACGCGTTAGCTTAAGGAAAAGGTAATAGCATGCTTGATCCACAGCGCAGACACCTGCAGCCCGGAGTTTTGCAAATATCTCAACATCATCGTAGTTATTAAAGAGAGGCTTTAGAACAATGTTAACTATTCAACAATCACACGTTGCTAAGATAATGTTAACCTTTTTATTTACTGCTTGCTACAATTTTTCAAAACAGGGAAATGTGAAATGAAAAATATGTGAAGTACAACTACTATGATGCTGAGACATTTGCAAAACTCCGAACCGCAAGTGTTTGCGGTGGAGATCGAACCCGTTACTACCGTTTCCGGGACTAACGTGTTCACCACCACACCATAAGAGTCCTTCGCTCCATCTTTCCCTTAGCCGTGTTTTAACTTACAGGTATTCAACAACCGTTCACCATTTGGAAAACATTGGAATCGGTGAAAAAACTGGTGAATGGATGCCACAAAGTTCCAAGGAAGAGCAAACAAATCGTTACGAAGTTTGCTTTGTACTTCATTTATCGATCACAGCACTTGAAGTGAGATTAGGTTCTTAAACACATCCTAAAGTGAATCCGCAGCAAAAGAAGGTTATGGTAACTGTTTGAGTGTATGTAACCGAATTAATCAATTACAATATTCGGGATGTCAGTGAAGCGATCAGAGAAGAAAACCATTTCATGAACACCGAACCGCATAAAAGATTCAATTACTTTGCATAACACTTGTCCACATGTTGTACAATTACGGTGCAGAAGCTGAACGAACGGCAAAATCTGCCTCATTACATGCACACCGGTCTCGCCAAATGACTATCCCTTGAGAAACCTCAACAACTTTCTGTGAAAAAGTTCAACAGCCAAGTAGCTGCTAAAAGTGCCTTCACTTAGATACTTGGATATTCTTATACCGTGATCTGTAAAACAACTGCAGCTGCGGGTACAGCTGATTAACTTTGTTTACGATCACGTCGGCCCAACGTGTAGGTGGCCGTCTCAGGTGTACGAAATTCTCAGGTAGCAGCCGAAAGAACACGCGAAATGTTCGAAGACGTTTTTGGACGGCGAATGTGAAGAAAACGAACCGAATTCAAGAAATTCCGGAATTCGTACAGTGATGACAGGTCATGCACAATGTAAAGTGTGGAGGATCATTTTTTACGCACATAGCATTTAACATGTCTTTTTCGAGAAAGGTTCAGCGCAATGAAGTACACGTTCTAATCCTTTCACGACCGCGGCCATTTTCTAGCGTCGGGCTGGTCGGGCAGCGTGTCGCTGAGGTGCAATCAGAATACTTACTTGGATACTTGGTGGTCCGTCTTCACGAACTGTGCGGACCCCAGCACTTGTGTCATTCGTTCCTTTCTCTCGCAATCGTAGTCCATGGTGGTGGTCTTGTTCGAGCGTGGTAACGCGTGCGAGTCTCATACCGTGATCTGTAAAACAACTGCAGCTGTGGGTACAACTGATTAACTTTGTTTACGACCACGTCCGCCCAACGTGTTGGTGGTCGTCCTAGGGGACGTTTGCATTATACTGGAGTACACTCTACTGTTCTTTTCGTCCATTTGTCGTCTGCTCTTCTCATTATGCGACCAGCCCATCTATGTTTCGCTATCGATGTATATTCACCTGGATCTCGAAGATGTAATAGATTTCTAAGGTCAGAGCTTCGCATTCCGGCTAGATATTGAGACTGCCGATTATATTTCGGAAGACGTCGCTCAAGCACTCTGTGAGTAGTTCGAAACATTCTTGACGTAGCTGAAGTAACAACCCATGTCTCTGCAGCATAAAAGAGCGCTGGGAGGACCGTAGAATCAAAGAGACGAGCGCGGATTTTCGGGTCTTTCAGTTGGTCGGTGACTTCTTTGAAAGGACCGAATGCGGCCCAAGCTGCTCTACTTCCTCGATTTAGTTCCTCTTTCATGCTGTTTTCCATTTTCATTGTTTCCTCAAGGCATACATACAAGGTGGTCTCTGCAATCAGAGAGCCATCCAGTTCAGTTTTTTTCGCATTCGCACCATGGGTTTTCCGCGAAGTGGGTCTTCTTCCGACTTATGCGAAGTCCGATCTTTTTTCCCGCTTCCTTCCTCCTTTTCCCCTTCTAAAGTGCCTTTAACCTCCCAGCGGTTTACTGCCTCATCGTGGCTGGGAGGTGTTCTTGGGTGTCCGACTGCGATGTACAGCGTGGGGATTCATCTCCCCGTCGCGGTTTCCCAAGCTGAAGAGTCCGGCGTTTCCATCAAGAAGCCCAGCTAAGAGTAAACCAATACCAAAATCCGCCACCGTCCTGGTATCAAAGTCGCACAGTGGTAAATCTCCCTCTGATCCACAAAGGCGGGACTAGATTTGGTGGTGACGACCTACGCATTCCCATAAAATGAATGAAATTTAAATTGAGTGAAAACGGTCTCACCACTGGAACTCTCGCTCGCTGAGATTTCCTTGAGGCGTTCCCTCTTTTCCTTATTAATTCTGGTATCAACTGAAGGAGGGTCAATAGAAGTAGGTGGTTTTGGCTAGAAATAAAATACTGGAGAAGTTACTGAGGAACTACAAACATGCTATCACAAGATCTGAACTCACTTCGACTTCGTCTTTTAATAGTGGTCGCCTTATCTTTGTGTACCACTCTTGGACTTTGTTTAGTTCATTTGTTCCTTCCGCAAAATATTTTTGAATGCCCATTTTTGAGTCCAGTTCCTAACAAAAAGAAAAACATAAAGCATTAAGACCATGTGGTTTCTTATTAGTATTAACAATACTAATCTAGACAAATCCTTCCACAATTTTACATGAACAAGGTCCCGAAATCACACGACTTTGACTAAGGAGTGTTAGTCATTTGAATTGTCGTTTTTAATACAAAAATTTCATTTGATCCTCACCGCTTGTTCTTTACGCTTTTCCTCTTGATATTCTTTATTTCCTTGGCCAAAATTTAGGCGTTCAGCGAGTTCAAGTTCCTTCATTTGAATGGTTAATAATCAACCTTACATATCCAAGAATCATATAAAACAAATTAAAATGAGGTAGTTCAAGGTTGAAAACAGCTAAACAGTATACAAAATACGATAATAACAAAATCATAAAGCAATATTAGTGAAACCTGGAACAGGTTCACATGTCCTGTTGAAGTAGATACTGATGCATCTGAGCGTCCTCGTAAAGCAAACGGTTCCATGTCGGCATTTCTGGAACGGAATATTCGCAAGCGTAATTACGAATGAAATAGTCTTTTACACAATTGATAAAGTTCTATGTTATGATATAAAACCTGCCGTATGACTTCCCCAAGCAGTGGTATGAGGAAGGATTGCTTCAACAAGCGCAACAATTTGTATTTTTACACCTAACGTAATACATATGCTACACTCGAATACGCAAACAACTTGTGAATAGGAGAACCAATTAGTTTTCTCCGAAGATTATGTATTACTTAAAATTATCTAGTACATTCTGTGGAGTATTCCTTGGAAATAAGGCAGAACATGAACTATTTCAGGAACAAACCTTAAAAAGTTCTAATCATTTTGATACCTAGGAGAAAATCGTCTTTTCATGGCAGGAACGAAGACTATGTTAATGGGCCAAAAAAGTGGTGGTCAACGATTAAGTCGTAAGTTGATGAGAGCTCGAACAATCGTACTGCAGATATAAATTCGATGAAACCTTTAACACGGGTTTCACCTAAATAATGTGGAATTCACATAAATAACAACATGCACATTCCACATTAAACAATGTACTATAAATTGCAAAAGAGATCGGCTTCTCTTGCTTCCACACACCTAATAAGTGACTGCACTGCTACCGCCTAGGAGTTCAATGCGCATAATTACAATTCGTTCCTCACCTCACCATGACTTACGACCCTATTGTGCTCAAGAGTTGGTGGGATACTTCCTGGTACTGCAATGTATATTCGTTTTTTTTTCGGGGATTCGTTCCACAGCACGGTGTTCGAAGCCGAGTCCGAAATTTCCATTGCAATCAACAACAAATAAACGCTAAGAAAGCTTTCCAACCGTTTTGCCGCTTGTGTCCGCAGTGCTTCTAACCGTCGTTCGTTTTCGGCCGCAATCGCTCTTTCGAGTCGCTGCTGTTCTTTTTCCGCAGCTTCTTTCTCATCTCTTCTAACACGTGCAATATTCTCTTTTGTTCGTACATGCCACTTTTTCTTCGGTAAGATGTTCATACTCCTCAATAAAGATTTGAATTCCATCACGGGATACGAGACTATTACACAGTAACATTCCAGAGGTAAACAATACTGTGTGGAAGATAACACTGTGACAATTCACTGCAAGTAGGTTTCCAAAGTGAAGAAATAAATATTTATTGCGCTTTTATACTGTTCGATATCACACTTAGAATACGACGCATAAAACATGGAAAATGAGACGGGCTTGTTCATTAAATAGTATAATAAAGCAATTGAGAACAAGCAGCACATGTAGAATCGATGAAGGCATTTCACAAGATAAAGAGACACGGCGATAACAACCGACATCTACCAGAAATATTTTAGCGCAACTATTATGCAGCTCGTCGTCGGCGAACAAAGGGCCAAATATTATAGAATTTGCTCAACCATCGTAATGAGTACTTTAAAACGCAACTGATGACAACGTGGATAATATAATCCTAACTTGACAAGGATACAATATATTTCACCTAATTAAGGATTAAATTTATAGGGCAAGATACAGTGAATTCAGCTTAAGCCTAGAGCAGCTCCTACTGAATAATTTGAACCTGACTGAAGTTTTCTTTGCATCGTTTTTCAAAAGCCCAGCTTTACGAATATGCATACACACGTTCATTTACGACTTAATCGTACCGTGTTTCCGTAATTCTAGGTGGTCACCGTCGGTATGTAGAGAGAGTTGATAGCATCGCAAAGTCGCACCTTCTTCATCTGTCTTATCGTATCATGCGCGAACACAAGTTCGCGATGCCGAAGAGGTCTTATATGGTTTTTGTGCGCTAGCCGATATGCACGAGAGGCGTTTATCTGAATTGCAAAAAGTTATTTATAGCACTTCTATTTTATAAAAAGGTTCAAAAAGGAAAGTGTAGCTTGATGCAGAAGAAAAAATGGGTAAATCCTCTATAACTGGAGGATTGAGACAAGATGAAGATAGATGACGACGCCCTACCATTTGAAAGATGGTACCTAATCGAAATTATTAACCTTTACCTAAATTATATCTTATACTTGCGCGACTAATCGAGTTATGTATTGCTTTTAAGGATAGGAACTAATTTTTTCTTAGTTTTAAACAAGCATTCTTTGGATCGAAACGACTTTATTAAATGAAAAAGTGAAAAAACAGATATTTGCTAGTCAAATATAAGGTTTGTTATTCCGTCTAGACAAATTTTGGGTTTTATAGAACCCAAAAATCCTATTTCATCACTTTTTTCTCGTCGAGCGATTGCATTTTAAACACGAATACAACTGAGCAAGCGGGACCATAACCATCAGGAAATGGTGATGTTCTCGAATGGGTTTTTGGGGAAAGAAGTTTAAAATTTAAAACCTGTTTCCTTTTTTGTAGAATTAATTCCAAACAGACTCAAGATAACACCTTAGGATAACTACTGATGCCCTTGAACCGATCTAGATCTAGATCTAAGCATCTTCTACAAGCTATTCAAGTGCACACATTCCTAAACGATCTAAGTTTTCAAAACATTACCGGCAATTGTCAAGAAGCCAACAAGGTTTCAAGTGGGTTAGTAGAGTGATTTAAGGTGGTAGTGTGCAAAATCAGCAAATCAATGCTTACCACAGTAAGTCGCACCATTTCGGCTAATTCTTCGCTGCCAACTAAAGCACCATCATATAGTGGTCCAAATTCCAATGTGCTGACGGTTTCAACACGCACACGAAATGTCTGAATCGTGAAAAAAGAAGATACTACAGCACAAAGACATAAATCAATGTAGATATGAGTATAAGCCCAATATTTGAGCATTGGAAGAAATCTAAATGCAAAAGGCTACTATAACAGACCCTGTCGCCAACCCTCTCCAGTACAATTAAAACATCGCAAAATTTCGTAGCGATTGTTTCGCGACGATAAGGCCGTGAGTGCTCAGACCATACCACGTGGACCTAAACGAACGGTTGACTACTACCATAACTCTACCCTGTTATAAAATTTCGAATTAAAAGAAATCACTTCGTCATTGCCAATGTGTTTCCACTTCTGCGTAGCATCTCCAGATAAGTGCGTACTAACATGAAAAATTAGTTCGGTATCAGGTGTCGCGTAGTACGGGGCAACGGTGTCGTACGGTAGGCCACCAGAATATCCTTCATGACCTCTTCCGATGCAAACCTTCAATGATGCCAATCTATATATGGTAAGAAGCTAAAAGTTAAGAGAACTTCATTAAATAAACAAAATCTATTTCCACCTCCCAGCCGAGTTCACTAACAAATCGATTAAAACTGGGTGACGCGGTGGTATTTGACAATATAGATTGTTTGTCTTCTTGCCCGTCAGCTACATAAATTACAGCAACCTTAAGAAAAAGACATACATTCAAATATATATATATATATACGTGTATATATTGTACATAAACGTATACCATATATTAAGCATATACAAAACATATATCTAAAAAGAAATATAGTACACTTCATATTTCTCACCTAAAACGAGGACAGTCACAAAGACTATTACAGTAACATGACTCAGTCTATTACATCATTAATAACTGTTCAGTCGATACACTGCAAAAATCGCTCTCACCCGACAAGAAACATCGTCACATGGCAGCAAACTTAACACAAAATAACAGTATGGGCAGATGGCAGATTATCCGAGACCAAACAAGTCCACAAAGGAAGCAGCAACCTCCATAAGAAATGATTTCAAAGAATCAAACTCAGAGAACGAAACGCTAAGACTAGCCAACATAAGTACCTAAGATATTTTAACAAAATGTTAATTTGAGTACATTAAGAGATACTAGAATCATTGTAAAATTTATAAATTGATGCAAGCCATTTCATGTAAACAGTCAAAAACAGATGTTTCATTTTTTTTCGAACACTGTCACTTGAATGTGTCGTTTTCTTGTTCATATACTGATATGCCAATCTACAAGGCCAAACGCTTCAATAACACTTACAAAAAGACGAAAAACTCTGGTAATTACATGATCAACAACTTCTCGCAAAACCCACCACTTTTTTGTGACTTCCAATGAGGAAGTTTAGAACAGCTGATTATAGTCGCATGTGGTTGACGACTGCACCATCCCACATCAAAAATCGATGCGAACATACGGGATCAGGTCACGTATGACCTCCGGGCATTCATCCCTGCTATTCATTGTAGGGTTTTTGGCATTGATCCAAAAAGCCTCAAGGAGTTTTCGCGCTGGTGTTTTGGAGTCCTGTGCAAGGATATTCACTTTTACTTCAAAATCGTCTCCGCTTTGCTTTTGTATTCTATGCGTGCCTAGTGGGGTGCTTCGTCTTAGTTTTTCGTTTGCCATTTAGGTGTTGTTTTATACGCATACACAAAGGTTTGCTCGTTTCGCCAATATATTTATCTCAGCAATTGTTACACGAGATCAGGTATATCGTACATGAACTCATGCAATCACCGTCCCTGCCGTAAGGGCAAATTACGCAATTTGTTGTTTCACACAGACCGTCATACAGGCGGTTGCAAACTAATTGGCAACGTAGAGTAGCCCGTGGTATTTCAACTATTGCTACCGATTCCTCTAGACCTGCCCTTCATCGTTTTATAGCTACGCTTACTTCATCGCTTATAAAAGGCTACATAAACGGGATTTTGTTTTGGCCAAGTGTTTCGTCTGGGCGCGTCGTTCTCCTTGTAAACTTATCTCGTGGGGTTACTATTTCGTAGCCATTGGAGGTGGCTATTTTCCGAGCCAAGTCGCGCGACTCTTCCTTTAGTTCCCTGGTAGTGCACACAGAGGTGGCTGTTCGAAACATGTTTCACACAATCGCCCTCTTTGAGTGTGAAGGATGGGAAGAAAGGAAATGAACAAGAATGTTCTTGCTACTTGGTTTTCGATACCACTTTGTCAGGTAACCGCTACTTGATATGTTTATTTGAACGTCCAAAAACGGAAGCCAGTATCTTTTCGGTTTCTCCCGGGTGAACTTTATGTACTCGGACTGCTCGTTCAATAATTCAAAGCATTTGTCCATCTCCTCCTGCGTAGAGAAGACGACAAAACAATTATCTACATATCTGCAGTAGAGTAGTGGCGGGAGATCGAGAACGAGGGCTTCTATCTTAGACATAAACACAATGACAAGGCTCGGTGCCACTCGCTGTCCCATTGCCAACCCCCTTATTTGTGCGAAATATTTCCCAGACCATCTGAAAATCGAGCAGTTTAGGCACTCCTTTAAGAGAGCCATTAGTTGCTGGATGCACAAGCCATGCATATTTATTCTTCCTTCATGTTCAACAAGAAGTTCGAAGATGGTTTGCATTGCGGAGTCATTCGACACGTTGGTGTACAGTGCGGTAACGTCGAAAGACTCCATCACGTACGCGTTATTAGGAGATGCGTTACGTAAACGTTCTAGGAACATATGGGTGTTTTTGAGGTGAGCTGGAATGTGGTTAAGCAACTGGGTAAGTATCAGGCTTAAAAACCAGGTTATTCTATCCGTTGGCCCGTTTACACAGCTGATGATCGGTCTAACCTTAAATGATGACGGATTGGTTGACGCATGATCATCAGGTGATACCAACTTATGTGCTTTAATAAGTAGGTATAGGACGGGACATGTTGGTCTATCGATTTTAAAGTGCGAAATAACCGATGAATTTAAACCCGCAGCCTTTGCCACACTGACCCATTGATTGTTTAGCTTTCGGTATTGACTTTTACCTTCCTTTTCAGAGGATGGGCGATAGAGAGTAGCATCACTAAGATGTTCCTCTGTTATCTCAACATCCAGCTGGCGAGGGATAACTACGAACTCTCCCTCCTTATCACTAACAGACAATCTTATTGTTTTCGAGTTTACTAATTCTCTAATTTCCCGCATGCCGCATTTTTGTGCGGCTGTAAGGTTACAGATAAACTTTCTATCGCGGTAGTGATCGAGGGTTTTGAGAACGCCGCCCGAAAACACGATAGCGGAGTCGATCTTGAAGCTCATAAAGGTTGCATGCTATCCTACACAGGGTCGTTTTAGAAATACGCTCTGACGGTGCAAAACTTGGGCCCAATTCTAATAGCGAGCGCGCATTATTAGGTATTGTTATGCCCCCAATCACGGTGACGCTAGATTTTCTTGGTGCATTATCAATCCCAACAAATTCCGTAAGCGTAACTATAAAACGATGCTTAAGAAGGGCAGGTCTAGAGGAATCGGTAGCGGTAGTTGAAATACCACCGGCTACTCTACGTCGCTAATTAGTTCGCAATCGCCTGTATGACCGTCTGTGTGAAACAACAAATTGCGTAATTTGCCCTTACGGCAGGGACGGTGATTGCATGAGTTCAGGTACGATATACCTGATCTCGTGTAACAATTGCGGAGATGAATATATTGGCGAAACGGGCAGACCTTTGTGTATCCGTATAAAAGAACACCTAGATGGCAAACGAAAACTAAGACGAAGCACCCCACTAGGCACGCATAGGATACAAAAGCATAGCGGAGACGATTTTGAAGTAAAAGTCAATATCCTTGCACAGGAGTCCAAAACACCAGCGCGAAAACTCCTTGAGGCTTTTTGGATCCATGCCAAAAACCCTACAATGAATAGCAGGGATGAATGCCCGGAGGTCATACGCGACCTGATTCCCTATGTTCGCATCGATTTTTGATGTGGGATGGTGCGGTCGTCAACCACATGCGACTATAATCAGCTGTTCTAAACTTCCTTATTGGAAGTCGCGAAAAAGCGGTGGGTTTTGCGAGAAGTTGTTGATCATGTAATTACCAGAGTTTTTCGTCTTTTTGTAAGTGTTATTGAAGCGTTTGGCCTAGTAGATTGTATATCAGTATACACTTCCAGACTCTAAAGAAGGCGATACTGCCGAAACGTCAGCTAGCATTGTATTGCATCGTGTTTTCTATGGAAGTAAATGTATGCTGTTTAAAAACCTCGCGATTGCTGAACAAGAAAACGACACATTCATATTCCAATGCCGAGATTAATAGAAAGTCGATCCTGGGAACTGTCACTTGACTTGAAGAAAATTGTGGAAAAGGAAAACTACTGATTCGACCAACCTTATGTACTTCCCTGGCACCAGTTTGGTCAAGATGCTTAAGATCGCGAGAAAAATTGGATGGTACGTTTGAGACATTTGCTACAAAACCAAGACTTGCAGAAAATGATCGCCATTCATGCAGACTGAATATAAAAACGTTTTAAAATATCACATTTAAGCACTCTTCTAACTAAATTATTTGTGCTTCACTTACAATTCTGTCGATTAAAACAGACATACATACTAAAATCCTGACCTGTATCACCTATCGCCCCAAAACGCCCACCTCATGACTTGAATATTGGCGAGTAAACTTTCCATCCTTCCCTTCCCATCTCAGAGTATCGGGGCAGTGGTCTTCCAGGTGTGCGTTTAACACTGCGGAAAATCCTCGCGCTAACAGCTGCTTCTGACCGATTAACCGCTTTTCGTCCATACACGCATAACGTGTTCGCCCACCTAATCCTGGACAATTTGGTATATAGAATCATGTCAGTTTCTTGACTGTTGACGTAAGTAGGTGCCTTAGATACTCTCCTTTACTTGAGTAATAGGAGGTACTCTTGGCGACGAACTTTGGAGTGAGCGTTCCATAATGCTGAGTGGTCTTTCACCCTGCTTACTTAGCGATAAGGTTTCTAATATGTAAGGAGGAAACGTGGAATCGAAAAGGTGGGAGCGGAGTCGGGTGCTCCTTATTCTTTTCGCTGCATCTTCGATGCTCTTGAAAGCTCCCCAAGCCGCTCGTTTCATTCTGCTCAGCTCTGGAGCTAGGTCGTTCACCGTATTGATTTCCCGACCTAGACAGAGATAACTGGAGCATTCGGAGATTAATCGTTCCGTTGAGCGCGAATGGGGCATGCGAAACCAATCTTTCCACAGGCTTTATCAAAGTTGGCAAGCGTACGTTCCGCTTGGCTAATGTTTGGTGTGATAAGAACGATGTCATCAGCAAAGCGAAGGTAATGTAACTGCCTACCATCGATTTTCACTCCCACATTATCCCAATCCAATGTTCGCATGACGTTCTGTAGGGTGGTAATAAATAATTTTGGCGAGACGGTATCGCCTTGTCTGACTCCTCTTTTGACGTCAATGTTAATATCGTTGTAGAATGGTGATATCTTGGCTGTCAAATCTTTATACAGCTCACGAAGAATCTTTATGTACTAGGTAGGGACTCCCTGAATATCAAGGGCTTCGATGACTGCTTCACTCTTAATTAAGTCAAAGGCCTTCTATAAATCGATGAAAGTGAGGTTGAGCGGTCTTTTGTACACTCGCGATACATCAATGAGCCTCGTTATCGTGTCGATGTGGTCCATCGTACTAAATCCTTTTCGAAACCCTACTTGCTCACATGGTTGTCCTTCGTGTAATGTACCGGCAATCCTGTTTAGGATAACTCGACTGAAAAGTTTGCAGATTACAGACAGCAAGCAGATTGGGCGACAGCTGCCGATATCGTGTAGGTCAGTCTTCTTGAACAATAACACGGTCTTGCTGATCTTCCACTGAGTAGGGACCTTGCATTCAGACAGGTAACATGTGAAGAGCCGAACCAGTGTGTTTACGTGGACTGGCGGAAGGTTCTTCAGGTATTCTGGTCTTATCCTGTTAGAAACTTGTGCTGTTCGATTTTTCACCGACGAAATGGCATGTCAGATTTCGAAAAGGAGAACCTGTGGTACAGCATATCCATCCTCCTTTACTTTATATGACGGAAGGTGGACTTGACTATCCGAGAGATCTAAGTAGTATTCCTGAATCGTTTTCTCCATTGCTTCCTGGACGCTGCAACTGTTCCACCTGGACGTTGGAATACAATTACATTAGTTCCCTGATTGGCAAAGTTTCGATGGGCTTTACAAATCTTCTTCCAGCCTCTACAGCTTTGACCATTACTGCTGCTGTACTCTCTTCAACTCTCCTGTTTTATCGCCTGTCTGCAGCGTTTTAAAAGTTCGGAAGTGAGCTTGTGGCTGCATGTAGCCCGTGCACGCTGGCGCAATAGCTGGAGTATTTCTGCAGATACGCGTCTCTTGGTGACTTTCCAACTCTCAGTTTTCATAGTGTTAACGTTAAAACGTTAAGATGTTGAATGAGCCGATCATGTTACCAATAACAGCATCTTCCCAAGAGCCGATTAATGAACTGGAAAGATCTCATTTTATGGCTGTTTTTGGACTTAACGTGTTTTTTCTTTCCGCGCGAAGTAAAATCTTGCGCGAAGAAGATGATAGACTGGTTGCATGTAGAGTTTTAGGAAAACAGTGACATTAGCTAGGCAAAACATTCGATTTACTATTATGTGGTCTATTTCTTTATGGTTCTCTACACTGGGGGTCTCACACGTCAAGCGTTGAGGGTGGGGCTTCTGAAATTGCGAGCTACCATGAATGGCATTGGTCGTCATGATATACTCACACAGACGCTCACCCTGTTCGTTCCATTCTAATCCATGGGTCCCAATGTGACGTTCTTCAGACGTTTTTCTTGGTCCAATCCTGGCGTTGATGTCTCCAATGATGGCCTCGAAGAATGTATGGTTTTCTCTGCAGAACTTCTCCAAGTCCATATAGAACGCATCGACTTCTTCGTCGTAGTTTGATGTCGGCGCGTAAACGACGAAGGTGTCAAAGCCGGCATTGATCCACAACTCCTCAATCATAAACGTCCGATTCGAATTGTCAGTTGTTCGAATGAATCAATTCTGTCGACTCCTCGATGATCGCATGTTCCGCGGAACAATTCTTCCCGGTATCATAGACGGTGTTGAGTGGACGGTATCTTCTCATCTCAGCCAGTCCGATGACGCTGTACCTTATTCTTCTTGCCTGCATTATCTGGTCCTGTATAGAGGACTCAGATGCAAGTCATCGTACATAGTAGGTACAAATTATCACCTGACTCGTTTGAGATTTAGGTGGCCTAGAATGGTGCTAAGATTTTATCAGCCTCTCCGTACTAGTCCTGCCCAACGCCGTCGTTTTATCGGAGGCTCTTCCGGGATAAGGGAAATGAAGCCTACTTATTTTACTGTGTTCAACGTTTGACATCCAAATATAGCTTCGTAAGCTCTTAACGTGGGGACTATATATACTCGTAGGTAATTTGCCACTCTCCCCTAGAATAGATGGAGAAGCTTACTTGTTGCAGGCGACTCCTAACCGCCTCCCATGTACTTTCTAGTCACTTGATTTCGGACTTTTGGCCAAATTAATTCGTAGAAGACAATCTGCATAAGCAAGAACACAATCGCACACATTCATGAATACGCCCTCGTAAATGTAGAAGGTATTTTCCAAACCGGTGCAGTAAAAACAAGGAGTTCATTTCCTGAATCCACCTGCGTCTCAGGAAAGCAAAGATCAGTTCTAGCCCGAGGTTAACCCCTTAGCTGCCACCTACGAACACGTCACGTTGCCTGGCGTCTAACCAGCATGAGATCCATGTAAGAGGGAGATCCATGCCTAATACGATTTATTAACAAATAAAAAAATTTTCATACAACACAAACCAGGATGGCGCTTGTTTCGATGTGGACTCCGGAACTGGTTTAAGTGGTTGTGGCTGCCTTCGGCTGCTCTCTACGATAGTTATCCATTCCGGTACCGCTTTAGAGGATACCGCTTCGTTCGAATGAGGTAACGCATCAAATGGGTCGTCCTTAACACCGAGGATGCCGGTGGATCCTTGACCTAAACTTTTAACACACCCTTAAACTCTTGCATGTATTCTCACATACTTTTGATACACTTCAAACTCCTATTTGTGAACAATTCTTTCCACTTCTGTTCAGCAAACACGAGGTGTTATTTTATTTCTTTATTTACGTACAAGCTGACGTTTCAGCGGTTTCGCCTTCCTCAGAGCCGCTTTCTATGAGTCTTCCACTGAGTATGTCCACTCCTATTTGTGAGTGAAGAAAAGCTTGTACGTAATGCAACAGCGTTACTATCAGCATAAAGTGGTCGGTTTCTCAACATGTATGAACTATATATTGGTATTTCTTGTTCACATTCATTCTATAACGGTTTCGCATGCAAAATGAACTCATCTAAAAGGTTTTTTTAAATTTACAGATTATTAACAATGTAGAACCTCCCAAAAAATTTGCTGTCTCACTGAGGCTAGGAGACGTTCATGGGTGTTAAGCTGCAATGCAGAGCGGCGCGTTCCCACCCGGCAAGGCCACCTCATGCTAGTTTCCTTCTAAAGGAAAGGCCAAGAAAAAACCAATACCAGGGTCCACCACCGTCCTGGTCTCGAACTAGTCGCATGGTGGCAAATCTCCCTCTTATTCACAAGGGCGGTGAGTGCTTATGGTGGTGACGACCTGAGGAAGCTTCAGCTGGGCTGACTCCAGGGAATCGCAATGGTTAAACAGCGAAATTCCGGCTTCAGTGCTCCCCATACTGGATGTTCTCATTTGCGATATCGGGTGGTGAGAACGAGTGAGAGATATCAAATCTCTGGTTGTACGGGACGTCACTGGAAACGGAGAAAACGAGCACGCCCACGATACGTCATGGAGACTGCTTCTTGCTCTGTACCGGAATAAATAACACCAGAATTGTCTCTTCAGACGCCGATCTTTACTCACCTCTTGAGGCTCTTGATCGCAAGAAATTCCATGTGATCACTGTATAAAAGATGAAAAACAAGACCAACATATACAAAGTAGATGACCGAAACTTTGTCATTCGCGGAGGGGAAGTTCCTTTAGAAAATATCAAAGGCGTTGGCTTTGTCGTATACATATCGGTTTCCCATCTACTCACCACATACAAAGTCGTACCACTGCGCTTAGCCATTCTTCTTCTCTAACCTTCGTGTGACAAAAGAAATTCAGTATCATCAACTGCTCCCCAATTTGCACATCTTTGAGCAAACTGGACACGTTTTACAACAATTTGGAGAAAGTAATCCGCAACGAAAACTCCTTATACAAATTCTTTGTTAGAGACGGACACTAAGTAATGACAAACGAAGATGAGTACAGGATAAAGAAATTCGGAATAGGGGAATGAAATGAGAATCGAAACCGTCTTTTAGGATTCCTGACTACAGCAAACCTTTTCCATAGGAATTTATTTTTCGAGAAGTCAGAAGAAAGCCAGTGGACACAGAAATCTAGTTTCCTAATGGGAAGACTGATGCAGATACCAATCATATTCTTACGAAAAGGTGCTCCTTCTCATCTCAGTGAATCTTATCATAACCTTCTCAATACAAAGAATCGGTTCAGCGATAAGCTGAAAAACAACTGTCAGTATCCAAGAAAAAGAGGACTTGTATGACAAAAATATTCTCAATAAAATCTTCTCCTCATATGAATGGTATAGATTCTATTGAATAGTTCACAGCAAAACCGTGCCACGGATCACAGCAGATTGCCAGAAGTATCACCTGCCACTAGACCTGCCTTTTGCCGCCTGTGAAGCGACCAGAAGGATCAATCATAACGTCTTGCCTGAATGCGCAGCCCATACCTCCGAAATCTACTCCCATCTTAGGGATCCAGGAGAATATACATCGATAGCGAATCACAGATGGGCCAGTCACATAAGAAGAAGAACAAATGAACGATGGACGAAAAGAACAATGGAGTGGGCTTCAACAGAATGCCAGCGTACTCTTGGAAGAGCATCCAAACGATGGGCAAACGTGTTCGTGGCTAACGTCAACTTTCTGCATTCATAGCTGATATGCTTTTAGGAATTCGGAATGGGTCCCATGGATGTCACCATTTTCGATGGCTGACTGGGAAAGAAATGAATAGAAATTATGCTGTAGTCCGCAATATCAATTAAGGGCCATCCAACTAAGTAAATATTCAGTGGTTTCCAGAGCTGATTCCCAGCACTATAACCAGCAGTCGATAAACTAATGGTTGACTATAAAAATTACAGCAACTTTCTGTACACAGGACATCACACCGGTTATTGTTTCGGTCCACGTGTGAGTGGGAATCCACTCACGTCGCCTCTTAAATTTTGATGAAAAACCACTTTATTTAAGTTAACAATCGACAAAATTACTTGTAACTTCTGGTGCGATCTGCTTACCTGGACGGCGCCCTCGGCGCGCTTCTTTTTGTAGCCACACATTTACGTTACGCGACACTTTTCTTTCTAACCTATGGAGATGTAAAGTCCAGCAGTGTTTGCCTACCACAGTACGAGACGTAATTTCTAACTGCTGGTCTTTATTCACCCTATAACACAAATAAAGATTAATTAGCAAATAGGATGAAAGTTCATGAAGCTTGTAACAACCAATGTTATACCCTAGAATAGCGCTGTTACGTTGTACAAAAATCTGTGCCTCGTTGGGCTTACTGGTTGTCGATTCAACAGAATTCCACTTGGAAACGTTGAAGCCAGACAATGGAAACTGACCTTCCATGGTTAATAATGCACCTAAAATTGAAACACGTACAAGTATGACTTCCAAATACTAAACATCACGTAACCGGCGCTGTCATACATCTCAAATGACCGGATTTTTCCTACAAATTGTGTGATATAGGGTGTATAATAACTGTTAAAGGAAATATGCGAACAAACAAAGTAAGAGATACATTTGAAAATGTATGACCTACCCTCCAACAACTTCTGTTTGTCAACAAGGAAGGATTTCACAATTTGAGGCAAATCAGCCTTGAGTGAGTGGGATAACGCCAAAGACGCCCAAGTCCATTGTATTTCAGTTCGATGTCGTTCATCACGAAGTGTTGGAATCGTGCGTAAAACCACTGGAATCGCACACATCAACTTCGCGTCCTCCATTTTCCCAAATGTTTTTATAAAAAAAGGAAGTCAATATCCTTGCACAGGAGTCCAAAACACCAGCGCGAAAACTTCTTGAGGCTTTTTGGATCAATGCCAAAAACCCTACAATGAATAGCAGGGATGAATGCCCGGAGGTCATACGCGACCTGATCCCGTACGTTCGCATCGATTTTTGATGTGGGATGGTGCAGTCGTCAACCACATGCGACTATAATCAGCTGTTCTAAACTTCCTCATTGGAAGTCACGAAAAAGCGGCTCTGAAGAAGGCGATACTGCCGAAACGTGAGCTAGCGTTATATTGTATTGTGTTTTTTATGGAAGTAAATGTATGCTGTTTAAAAACCTCGCGATTGCTGAACAAGAAAACGACACAAAAAAGATAAATTTTAAAACAATACGTAAAGAATAGACATAACCAACTGCATTGTAAAACTTTGATCTAAAACTTCACTTATACGTTCGCAACGATGGTGATTTCTATAAACCATTAAGAATTTTCAGATGTCCAGAAAACATAAGGAATTAAGAACTTGAAATGTTTATAGAGTTGAGCTTCCTCCATCGCTCCGATTTCTTGCAAAAACCTTTCTAAGATGGATTTCTTAGTCCTAAATTTGTTTGAAACAGGTTACCAAGAATTAAAAACTTGGAGATTTCTAAAATCTTTCACATAGGCTCGCCAACTACAAAAACCGACGAGCAGTTTCAAGAAACGGCTATGTCCTGTTAGATGAAATAGCGTTTCTCTGTTCCAGAAACGATTCTTTACTAAAAGAAGCAAAAAAACCTCGTGGTCCCTTTATAGAGGAAATGACAAAAAGTAAAAAAAAACGATAGAAAGGATTAAATAAAAAAGGGAGATTTTCATTACAATTTTTAGTGCGTAAAGAATTTTATACTTAATTTGCAATGCTGTAGGATTCTTCGTCTGTCTCAACAACGACTCCAAGCAAGAACAAAGCAATGGCAACAAATTCGGACCATAGCGATGACTTTGTAGTAAATTGAACACCTGAAAAAATAAGAAATAAGAGATAGAAGGAGATGGGATGACCTTCAAATTTTACAAAATGAAGAAAAAAAGAGATGAACTACAACCATGAGGATGACGACATATTAGGAAATCTCAGGATTTCAGTTGAGCTCTGAAATAGCTCTGAGAAAGGCAAAGAAAGGACATCGGTTGGTGTGGTGGACAGTTCGTGAGCACCCGGAAACAGTTATCACAAGTTCGAAGTCTGACTGAGGTTACAAGTTCTGCTCATATCTCACTATCCATTTGGTTGTAGTTTATATCGTACCATGGCATGAAGAAAGAATCGGAAATAAAAGTTAAGACATTGTAAGAGAAAGATAAATGTTAAGTGTACAGCCAATTCATGATATAAAAAATATTGGACAAAAGACACACCTTCACCATTAATTCGGAATCTCCACGCTGAATGATAAGCATACAAAGAGCGTTTGTGCATAATAAAGCATGTGGTAGTGATATGTCGGACGAAGAAAGCTAAACGGCAGAGAACAGATAAACAATTAAAGTAAACTACAGTATAGAGTTTCAGTCAACTATAATATTTCTGACTAAACACGAAGAACGATTAGAAAAGAGGTTTTCTTAGAGGAGGTCTAACACGTAAGGAGTGATGGAACTAATTTCAATTGAACTGACACAAGAAAAACGGCCGCTATTGATTGATGTTCACCCAAATGTGGCCAAAAATGTCAACTTTAAATAACCACATCTCGGCTCATATCGAACTCCATTAATTTGAGAAAGAAATTTATGGGAAATAAAATAGAATCAATCTAAAACTAATGCAAGTAGAAGCGCTGGCAAAAAAATTTGATTTGGATCAACACCAAGTAATTTAAATAAATCTAATTTAAGTTAATAACAATTAACTTTAAACAGACTGCCCTATCAATATGCAAATTTTATTTTCTGAGGCTTAAGAATCGGTTTTTTCTCGTAATGTCCTTTTGCATAACTTTGATCTTTGCCGATGCTTCAGTAGTTAAAACGATCTAAATTTCGTTTTAAATCTTTTGAAAAGTTGGATTCTACACAAAGGTGAAACTAAAACAAGACCTAAGGATCGATTTTCTATTAACCTCGGTGTTGGAATATGAATGCGTCGTTTTCTTGTTCAGCAATCGCGAGGTTAAACAGCATACATCTACTTCCATAGAGAAACACAATACAATACAACACTAGCTGACGTTTCGGCAGTATCGCCTTTTTCAGAGTTGTCTAACAACCTCGCGGTTGCTGAACAAGAAAACGACTAAAACAAGACTTTACTTACTTACTTGGATACTTGGATGGCCCGTCTTCACTGTTTGTGCGACCCCAGTATAATCTTCATTCTTCGGAGATAAGCTAATTTAGCCAAGAGACCTGGAGACCCGAGTTTAGTCTAGTCGAAGCTTTCCTCAGGTTGTCACTAGCACAGACAGTCACTGCCCTTGTGGATCAGAGGAAGGTTCCCCACTATGTGACTAGTTTTATACCAGTACGGTGGTGACTGCTATTATTTGTTTGTTCTTAGCTGAGCTTCTAGATGGAAATGTTTGACTCCTTGTCCGCTTGGGAGACCCCGCGTAGAGGGATGAACTCCCCAATGTACATTGCAACCTGACCCAGGAACAACTTCCAGCCATAAACCGTTAGAAGAAAACACTACTTTAAAGAATGTATATAAGCTTTGAGCGATAGAACAAATTTCCTTCTATAACTGCTAAATTCCCAAGTCCTCCAGTACCTTAATTATTGAAAAAAGTTGAAGAGTTGATGAAAATTGTGCCGACCTAAGTTACAGCAAAAAAATGTTAGGGATCATGCCGTTAATATAAAGGTAGCAATAGAAGGAACCAAGAAACAAATAAGGTGAGAATAATTTGAAGACTAATAATCTTAGAAATGCATTTTAATCGCGAATTCATTCAGTGAATCGTACAGGCAGGATTAGAAGTTCTCACATAATGTTATGATTTTTTTCTCCTCATAAATTTATTTCTTCACCTGTGATTCCCGTTTATTTCACTTCTCAAAACAATTCTATACTAGCTAACTGCTAAAACATACTCAAGCTATTGCTAGCATTTTTTAACACACAAAAACATCCCTCCACCTAACTACATAAATCGCACCCAATTCTCAAGAATCTTCTGTAATCTCTAACATGTACTCTGTAGAAACCACGCCAATAACTTGGTTTTTTTCTGAAAAATTTTGCAACGGAGCTCGTTTTTCCCAAACTGCTGATACTTTTTCGATAAAGAGATTACTTAAGGATTTGAAAACGTGGTTGCTTCGTAGAAGAGATGTTGCTCTATCTATTTAAGAGGTACGACTCTTTGAACCTGTTATTTGGTCTTCAAAGTTGTTTAGCATCGAAATTTCTAAACGAAATGGAAAGAAAACCCAATTCTCGAAATCAAAAGCGAATCTCAACACATGTAAACTGTTCTGATGGACGAAATACTGCTTGTTCAATTGCTTTCATTTTCGAAATAGGAGAGTCAACGACAAAAAAAAGTGAATAAAATGCGTCGCATGGGCTTCAGAAAATTAAAAATTCAGTGGTAAAACAAAGAGTCTCTAAGCTGTAAGCGAAAATTGTTGGATTCTATAAGTTGTTATTCCAAGTATAAACTTTAGAATGAGTTAATTTGGTCTAACTTTGAAGGCGGTCGCTTTTTCGTAGCCTATGGGTGCTCACGTCGGATCCTAAGTGTTAAAGACCTGATGAAGATAAGAGGATATTTCATAAGAAACATATTCAACAGCAATCCACAAACTTCTACATCTGCTATCTTTCTAGTAATCATTCCACTCAGTACGCCTATTTTGCTCGAAACGACGCTCAAAGTGATCAGTGAAGGTGGTACAAAATGATATCAGTTCCATTTTTTAAATGGTTGTTTTTTCTTCTCTGTATAAAAAAAGACATCCAATTCGTGCTGACCTGCTTAAGAAGCAATTGCTCAGCTGCTACACTTGAACTACTCAACAAGGCAAGCACCTTAAGTATGTGCGTATTCGACTGACATTGCGGAATCATTGAGGGCACCGCTTGAAGAATATGTTGTGAAAGAACAGCTAAATGACGTGGAGACATTGATGTGACATGTGGAATTACCTAAAAAAAACTGATTTCAAAGTTACTCAAAGGGAAGAAATTGGAGTAAACGACATCAACGCAGAAGACACATGACAGTAATAAATAAGCGTTCGTCTACAATAACTCAATGCATGTTCACGACTTCTTAAGCATACAACTCTTAACAAAAAAAATCTCGAAATAGTGAAGCTTAATCATTGATTTAAATAAAAATCAGCGGTAAATCCTAAAGGCTTCTGCCTGTGACATAAAAGTTCTCGTTTTCCCAAAGTCATACCCTAATTTTCACGAAAGGTTTTCCTGTTTTTTTTTATTGAGCCTTATATTTCGAAAAGTGGAGGAATTGAATCATGGGATGTTATCCAACCAATGTAAACTTAAAATATGTAAAAATTAGGTGAAAGTTAAATATACAATTCACATACAGTTATACATATAGTGGTAGGGAAACACGTGTTCTGCTTTAGCTATAGGGAACTCATCGGAAATTGCCGGAGTACCTCATCTATCTCGAATTTGTTAAGAAATTCCCATGCATTGTACATTTTCAATCACACAGACTAAATGTTTATAGTTATCAAGATTAATCATACCACCAAAAAACATGGTATTGGCATCGGTTAGGTGGTAGTTAATGTTAACTCAAGTGTACGAGTTACAGCGTTCTATAGACTCAAAGCACCGAATTAATGTTACTTTTTAGAAAGCAAAATCGATATGACCAATGTGAAAGGACGTTCCCATACGTTAATATTTTTCAATATTTAAGTGTCTACTTCGACAATACCCGTTTTAACTACATTCACCTGCGGATCTCCAGCTTTTATAAGGCGGATAAAAGCAAGTAGAATATGTGTCTGCAGGATTGGTGATGGTTGACGGCCGCTGCTCAGTACTGCGCCCAAAGATGCTATATAATTTGGCAATAAATTCGCAGATGTTTGCACCAGCCTCGACGCTATCCAGTGTGCTAATGGATCAAGATTCACCTTAAGAAGTGAGATCGATAACAGAAATCAATTTACTTCGAAAGTTATTCCCAACTATTTATTTCTGACGCAATAAACTTCCTAATAAAGGCAAAGAGTTCCTCTACGTTTTCAGCAATTTACGCACTAATATATTAGGTTTTTCGAAAATAAACGTCCGTTTTGCAATATCGCTTTTTTTTGTATTGCGCCACACGTGCCCGTTCTTCCCGTATATGTTCTGGCAACAGTTTTTCCTCAAATGTTGTACTATTACGAAACACCGCAAAGCTGTGCACTTTCGCTTCGTATTATTAACAACATAAATTTTGTGGATGCGTTTAGAATTTCAGATACCAAGATAGAAATAACCAGAAATCCACCCCCACGAATTCAAAATCGGTTGTAGAGCAACGCAAACGGCTCGAAACGTTAATTAGGTGTGAGGCTAATAAAGTGTTAACCATTGAATATGAAAGAGGTCACGGACGGCCTTCTACCATTAACGGCAATGAATTGAAGGCTTTGCCGTAAGCAAATACAAGCACAACTGCTCAACAATATGCAGAACTCTGTGTAGGTACCTCAACTATTTCGGAGCGTCTTAAACAAATTAGAATGTTGAAGATGCTCGGAAAATGGATGCAGCACAAACTGAACGACAATGGAAGAAGTTGCCATTTAAAGGTATCGACGGTGCTCCTGTACAACAGGAACGACCCGTTTCTCGACTATATTGTGCGGTACAGCGAGAAATGGTTTCTCTATAAAAATCGACGACGATCGACTCAGTTATTTGATCCTATTGAAGCTCCACAGCACTTAGTAAAGAGGAAATTGTACCAAAAGCTCAAGCTGCCGGGTGGTTTGCTGCTACTTTAATTCATCACAACTTCCTGAACCCAGATGAAACGATTACAAATAAGTATATCCAGAAAACTGACAAAATGAAACAGAAATTTCAACGGATATACTTCGCATCGGTCGGCAGAAAGGAATCCAATCCTTCTTCATGATAACGCTGGGGCCATATGTTGCACTACCAATGTTGCAGATGCTGAAGCAGCGAGACTACAAAACTGTGCCTCATTCACCACACAGACCTCCTGTCTACCGACTACCATTATTTTGAACATTTCAACAACATTTTGTGTCAGAAATGCTTCAGAAACCAAACCTAAGCCGAAAGTGTCTTCAATGGCCTCCAGAAGTCCAGGAAAACAGAATCTTTTGTAACTGGTATAAATAAACTTGTTTCTCGTTGGCAAAAAAGTGTAGATTACAAGATTTTCATTTCGTCTAGCAAAGTTTACTCTGAGCTAAGATTTACCACTTCAAATATACAGGATGAAATCCGACATTATCTCACGAAATTCTAGTCGGATACAAAAAAACAGTATATCATGATGCTGCATGGAGTGTCCTTATTGCTTAGTTTAGAGGTTTATGCATATGAAACTAACCAATAAAAGACTATGGATAGTGCTTGACAACGTTTCAACAGCAATCTTGGCATTCGCAAAGCTACTGTTATGCGGTCCGAGAACACATAAGAGATGACGCCACACTAGAAGCCAAACCGATGAATTTCCTGACCACGTCTAAAAAGAATGAGCAATGAATATATCTACAAAAAGCATAACAAGAACCGAGTTTATGGATAATAACGAAGCTCACCTGTACTGCGCTCGTAATATCATCCACATCAAGGAAAGAGCTGTTGTCAGTGTTTGATTCGAGGTCTACCGAATTTTCCTCCACGAGCTCAAAATCAGTTGTCTCATTCTTTTTACTTAATTTAGAGCCCTGATTCTAAAATGAGAAAAAATTAGTGATACGGTGTTCACTGCAGCAAACAAACACTTGCCATCTTAACAAATTCGTCCTGAGTCAATATATCTGTGTGCGCAAGATGTAGTATTAGTGCTCGAGTCACAATAAGAGAAATCTGAATGAGTAAATAATTGATAACAAAAGATAAAAAACAATGAATATATAAGACCCACTCTTGACCACTGTTGCGCCATTTGGATCCAAATTCCGCGTTGGAAAACTGTAGCAACATCGTCCCATAGTTTGTCATCAATATCAATATGACGTATAGCCTGAACAAAACAGTTGAATAGATAATTTGGAAGTAAAAGCAAATCCCAAGACCAACTTTCTTTTTAACCTCGGTAATGATTAATAAATCACTTTATCTTGATAAATAAACACAGCTGTTACGATAGCATCTATTATACAAATCAGCCTACGTTTCGACGGCTTAGCCGCCTTCAGAGACCTGAAGAGTCAAATTGGCATGCAATCGTTGAGATATGGCGCGAGGTCACGCGTGGTCATGACTATTACTTTAAAACCTCCACCGCTATCGATGTGTACTCTACTGGATCTCGAAGAAGGAATAAGATGGAAAGGTCTGAACTGGACGTTCCGGCTAAATGTTATGAATTCCGGTTAAGTTTTAGAATAAATACATCGTTCAAGCGCTCTGTGGGTGGTGCGTAAAATTGCTGATTCGGAAGAACTGTCAATCCACATATCCGTTGCATAACAAAGGACAGTGAGGACCGTTGCGTCGAACAAGTAAGTGAGGATTTTTAGGTCCTTTAGCTTGTCGGTGATTCTTTTTAAAGGCCCGAATGAGATCCATGCTATTGTTCTTCTTTTATTCAATTCCTGCTTCATGTGTTCCATTCCATATTCACTCAACGCCGGTAGATGAATAACGTTGTCTCTATAATCAGAGAACTATCAAGTTTGATGTGTTCGTCTTCGCACATTGGGTTTTTTAGGAAGTTGGTCTTGTTCGGATTAATATGTAGACCGATCTTTTTTCTTGCGTAGTTGAGCTTATTGATAATCATCTCCTCTTCTTTGGTAATTCTTGAGAAAAACGACGATGTCTTCGGTGAACCGAAGATTTGATAGGTAGTTGCCATCAATTCATATGCCTTTCTTGTCTCCCAATCGAGTGGGTTCATTGTCAAGTGCAGTGCGAAAGTAAACATCTATGGCGATGTTGTGTTGCATTGTAGAACCTTTCCTCCCGTGATTATGGCACGCGGTCGATGGAAAAGCTGTAGTTTTGTGCTGCAGTTCTGAAATCAGTTATCCACTGTTCGTATTTACGACAGGTCCCCTCTTTGGTCGACGAGCGCTGATAGGATTCTATTCGTTTCGTTGCTGTCAAACGCTTTTTCGTAGTCCACAAAGGCTAGGAAAATCGACACTTGGTACTTCCGGCAGACTTTTAAGACCAGTGACACTGTTTTCCTGTGGTCCATTTAGCAGAATCTCTGTCGAAATCCTGCTTGGTCAACTGGTAGTGGCTCACCCAAATTCTTTGTCATGCACAATGGATAGGCTAATCTTCACAAACAGTTTGCAGAATACACTAAACATGCATATCAAACTATAGTACGACAATTCTTTCGGTTATCTTTCCTTGGAGAGGAGGAAAGAGGAGGGATGACTGCACTGTTTGCGAAATTTGGGCCCTAGAAAAGATTCGAACCCGGGATTACACTTTCCGGGGGCTCACATGTTACCCACTGCACCACTAAATTTCTTCCTTTGCCTTTCTCTCGGCCACTTTCCTACCTAACGGTGTCCTCAGTAATCACCCGTCAACGGAAACGATGTGAAGAGCACAGTGCGGCATTAAACTCAGTTAAGCTGAGGCTGTAGTCGAAATCATCTTATTTAACTATTTTTATTCACTTCTGACTCCTGGTGCAGGTCAGAACTTCGGATCCTATCCCTTATTTGTGTGGCGTGAAACGGGGTACTTCTAGTATCGTTCTTTCGACTACGCGTTGGATAACGCTGAACGATCTTTCACCCTGTTTACGCACACGTTGGGGCAGGAAGTACCGTTGAGTCGAAAAGCTGGGCACGGAGTCGGGTGTTCTTTGTTCTCTTTACTACATCCTCAATGCTCTTGAAAACTCCCCAAGCCGCTCGTTTCCTTCTGCTCAGCTCTGGGGCTAAGTCGTTCATCACATTGATTTCCCGACATAGATAAACAAAACTGGAGCATTCGGAGATATTCGTTCCGTTGACCTTGAGTGTGGCATACGAAACTAATCCGTTCCTCATAAACATCGTTTTTGCGAGATAAACAATCTTTCCACAGGCTTTATCAAAGTTGGCAAGCATACGTTCCGCTTGGCTTATGTTTGGCCTTGCAAGGACGATGTCGACAGCGAAGCAAAGATGGTGTAACCGCCGACCATCGATTTTCACTCTATTATTATCCCACTCCAATGCTCTCATGACGTTCTGGAGGGTGGCGGTAAATAATTTTGGCGAAATGGTATCGCCTTGCCTAACCCCTCCTTTGACGTCAATGTTTACGTCGTTGTAAAATGGTGATATCATGGTTGTCAAATTTTCATACAGCTCACGGAGAATCTTTATGTACGAAGCAGAGACTCCTTGAATGTCAAGGGCTTCCATGAATGCTTCTCTCTCAATTGAGTCAAAGGCCTTCTATAAATCGATGAAAGTGAGGCTGAGCAGTCTTTTGTACTCTCGCAATACTTCAATGAGTCTTGTTATCGTGTGGATGCGGTCCATCGCACTAAATCTTTTTCGAAACCCTGCTTTCTTACATGGCTGTCCTTCATCCAGTGTTCTGTGAATCCTGTTTAGGCCGACTCGAATGAGAAGTTTGTAGGCGACACATAGCAAGCAAATTGGGCGACAGTTGCCGATGTCGTTTCATCCTGCTTGAGCAATAAGACGGTTTTGCTGGTCTTCCACTGAGTAGAGACCTTGCATTCAGACAGGTAACGTGTGAAGAGCCACACCAGTGTGTTTACGGAGACTGATGGAAAGTTCTTCAGGTGTTCATATGTTGGTGCTGTTCGATTTTTCACCGACGAAATGGCATATCGGATTTCGAAAGCGAGAATCGGTGGCACAACATATCCATCCTACTTTATTTCATATGACGGAAGGTGGACGTGGCTATCGAAGAGATCTGAGTAGTATTCGTGAGTGATTTTCTCCATTGCCTTTTTAGGCGCTGTTCCGTCTGGGTGTCGGAGTGCAATCATCTCGGTCTTGTAACTGGTGAAACTTCGGTGGGCTTTGCGAATGTTTTTCCCAGCCCCTGCAGCTTCAACCATAATTGCTGCTACTCTCTCTTTAAGATCTTCTTTTATCATCTGTCTGCATTGTCATGCGTGTTCGAGCATGAGTTGGCGGTTCCCTGCAGCTCATGCGATTCAATGCTGGCGTATCAGCTTGAGAGTTTCTGGAGACGGACGTCTCTTGGTGACTTTCGAACTTTGAGCTTTCATAGCGGTAGCGTGAAGATGTGTATTTGTTGGAGGCGACACCTAACTGTCTCCCATATAAGCCTTGTCACTTGATTGCAGGCTTTTCGCCGAATTGACTCGTAGAATACAATCCGCATGAACGAGAACGCAGATATAAATGTATGCATGCATACGCTTCGTATATACAGAAAGTATGTGCCAAATCGGCGCAGCAAGAACGGGGAGTCCATCCTCAGGATCTACCTGCGTCGTAGGCAACCACCAATAGTCGCTTTTGGTCCGCGATTAACCCACTATCCACCACCTGGGGACGAGCTACTGTAGCTTCGTGACTAACCGGCTATTTGGATCCCTCATATGAAGGAAATCCATGGTTGTGACCACCAGCCGTAAGGAAATCAACGGCAATATTATCGCATCCTGGAGCTGTGCAGCTCTCCATGTCTATTTCTATCGCGGCTCGGATTTGAACTATTTTCTTGGCCGTGAGAATATATCGATTTTACCAGCAGTGATTTCTAAGGACAAGAAGGAATCGTGATACAGAAAAAATAACATGGAATCTTCCGGTTATCAATTCCATACTATAGCAGGATGTGGTGATGGTCCCATCGTTGTTCATCATGGCAAATGGTGGAACATTATAGTCAAATAGATCTCCAAGGCACTTCTTCAGATTAGACTGTTTTTGAGCTGCTTGCAATAACTTTTCTGCCTACACCGATCTAAACCCTCTTTCAAAAAACTTTCTACAGGTGGTACTGTCTATCAGTCGTGTTAAGTATTTTGCAGAATGGCTAAGCTTTAGTTTCGAGATTGGCACAAGTTCTAAATCTTCCGAAAAGCTGCTTGTAACCCTCGGTTGGGTCTTCCTTTATCTTTTGGTCACACGAGAACATCTTACTGAGAATATTCTCGTCATACATGTCTTGTTCTTTCTTGTTCTTCCTAGACAATGACAAGAGCTCTTTTCTAGCTTATAGCTGAATCGAATCTTTGCGAGACCGTGACCGGGTCCAGCACAGGATCCAGATAACACTAAGGTGTCAAAGAAGCATCATCTTCTGTTCGTGAGAATACATCGATTTGCGCATGATTCATTCGATTGACAGACTCCCATATTCATCGGCGATTTTCTGTCATTACGAAAAAAGAGGACCCGTGGAACAGATCTGTTGCGTACGTGAGTCCTGAAAGAGGGTTTCCATTCCTGTTTCGATCTGCTATACTGAATTTTCTTATTCCGTTTGGTCCTCTTCATTTTCGTTGGCCCTTCCTATTTCGACATCAAAACCTTCAACAACAAGTTTGTAGAACAATTTTTCGCTGCGGATCTCTTCAAAACGGTAGTAGGACATGTCAAGTTCGCGCTCACCAGGTGCACAAGTTGGTGAGTAGCAGTTGATGATGGCGATCTCCTTCTGACGCAGGGGTTAGAAACAAGGAATGGCCAAACGATATGATAGAATCTCGTACGAGGTTACAACAAATAGGTGTACGACAATGATCGAAACCAAAAATCCTCAAGCGGTAGCAGAACCCGGACGAAAAACCTGAAGACCTTCGTGAATAATGAATGTGATAAAACAAGTTGACTGCAAATAACTTATAGCATTCTCACGTGTTCTCGTTTTGTGTAATAAAATCTAACTCTAAGTATGAAGAACGAAAGGGAGAAAAATTGCAATAAGTAGCAAGTAAATAGGGCGAGTATAAGAAAATTTATAATCAGTGAATGTCCAAACTCAGAAAAAAGTAGCATCTCAAAATAGTTGAAGAACAAACATACCTTGATGCTAACTATATTGGAAAGCACTGTCAAAGCCAATGCAGAAGACATCTCCTGCGAATATTTGTCCGAATGCGTACATACTCTGGTCGCTGATTGACATAAACGGTAAATCAGCTCAGACCTTAAAGACATATTTCGATCCTTATTAGTAGGTGGCAATAAAAGCTCCGAAATAGTGATATTATTACATTGCATCACTCACCAATTCTCTTCTGCTCAAAAAAATTAGTGAAAACGTATTAGTGAAAACTAGTAAAAAAAAAAAGAGAAGTGAAAAAATAAAAAAGAAGTAAAAAGAAAAGGAACACTCACAATTCAATTACTACAGTAAACCGCGTATATTAAATTACCTCATAAAGCTGATCAAGAGTATAGCAGAAAACTCACTACGACGTCACTCTTGATTGACTTGTAAGCAATAAATAATACGGGTACATAAGAATAAAAACTAGTTACGTACCAAACCCTAACCGATAAAGGTCGAGGAAGATTGTGACGACGTGCAACAAGATCACGGCACGTACGGAGGATTGCATAGGATGTTGTAATAGCCGACGATAGACGATCGCCAGCTTGAAATAAGTAAGGAGACTGGAAGAAGGATAACAACATATTGATGAGCAGCAGTGAAGATGACTCAACTGGGACCTAAAGTAATGAAAAATAAGCAGCTTTAAAAGACAACTGCGTGCATATGAACGTTCTAAAAAAAACCATAACTCTAAAAATAAAAAAAAACAACCTCATTACTGGCCACAAATGGAGGAATTTCATATTGCAAAAGCCATGCAGAGAGTGTGGTGACCACCTTTAAAGAAAACTGGCCTGCCTAGTTTATCTTACATTACAATTCTTGATGTACAATTATGTCAAACAAAGCTTTAATGAAGCACCTTCTGAATGACATTACTACATGGTAATGGCAACATCATTGCTTCCCTCATTAAAGTCAACGCAGTGTTAGTAGCCCGATGTGAAGCGAACAAAGCGTCGTGATACAGCAGGATTCCTGGATGCCATTGAGAAGTTGCTTGCTGCCGAGCTGCTGCGAGATTGTTCACCCATCGGATTAGCCAGTATCTAGAAGATCTGGCGTTTCATATAGTGATGAGCAAAACAAATGTTCGCCAAAAACGCTACATTCGATGTAATACCAAAAAGCGAAAAAGTATAGCAAAACAATCGTTCGTTCGACGTTCGACGTTCGACGTTACCGCTCTTTACACTAACGTGTCGAACGACTCCGCAATGCAAGCCATCCGTGAGCTTCTTGAGAAACAC